GAAGTCCTTTATTGGAAGTTCAATGAAAAAGATGCAACTAACTAGGTAAGCCAGATAATATCATAACAGCACAATGCCACAGGTATTAGTTTAATCAGAGGCTCCAAGAATCTAGTAAAGTTTCATGTTGATAATTATGTAACAAGGCGCTCCTATGTGCATGTATTGCTCACCTGGCATTTTTGCAAATAAAACTTATACGTGGCAATGAGATTATTCAAACATTCCAACTGAAGATTTTGGTCTTGGTCATGATGACCTATAGTTGCTTAAATCTGTTTCATTTGGATTTTGTTGGATAGTTGTCTCATTGCATGGCAATCATGATCACATATCTTTATTTTACATTATTGCGTGAACCCCTGATAGAATTTGTAGTCTTTCGGAATACCGAAAATACATCAGTAGCTGGGTTCAAATTGGACCCTGATTTAGTGACCGTCAATGGATAGGGCGTTTTAAAACTGAGCCATTTTAGCGTTACAAATTAGAGGCTCTCAAGAGCCCGTGTCGCTCACCTGTATCTGCTATGGTTTTGGAAATCATGTAAAATAAGGTTAAAATCATAATAAATAGTATTAGATACCCCAATAATGATTGAGACCAAGTTTGGATTTGGCCAAGTAGTTAAATTAAAAACAGGTCATCCCATTGTAGTCTTACAATAGTTACTGACGACCCCTTATCATTATTTATTTAAATTAGTTTCAAGTTGTGACCATTTTAAATTGTTTTTTTACAATTTTCCCATAGACTTCTGTAGTAAACCCCTATGTTTTATTTTTAGCCATGGCAGCCATGTTGGTTGGAAGGCAGGGTCATCGCAGCGAGAAACTCCCGCACCCGGAGGCATCCTTCAGCTGACCCCTAAACAAATAAGTATACTAGTTCAGTGATAATGGACGTCATACTAAACTCCAAATTATACACAGGAAACTAAAATTAAAAATGATACAAGATTAACAAAGGCCAGAGGCTCCTGACTTGGGACAGGCGCAAAAATGCGGCAGGGTTAAACATGTTTTTTGAGATCTCAACCCTCCCCCTATACCTCTAGTCAATGTAGAAAAAAACAAACGCACAACAGTACGCACAGTAAAACTCAGTATAAGAGAAGTCCGAGTCCGATGTCAGAATAGGAAACACAAGAAAATAAACAAAATGACAATAATACATAATAACAACAGACTACTAGCAGTTACTGACATGCCAGCTCCAGACCTCAATTTAACTGATTGAAAGACTATGTCTTCATCATATGAATATCAGGCACAATCCCTCCTGTTAGGGGTTTAGTATTATACCGTCATAAAATATATGAGAAGAACATAACCCGTGTCATGCCAACAACTGGTTTTAGAATAAATGTGTTAATTCCGATGCAAAGACCCTATAAGTGAATCAATATTAAAGCCAAAATATGCAATCTTTAATGACCTGACAACAGTATCGTAACTATATCCCTATCTATTATAATATTCAAAATAATAACCAAAAACTGCAAACTTTCCTTAAAATTACCAATTAAGGGGCAGCATCCCAACAACGGGTTTTCTGATGCGTCTGAAAATTTCAAGGCAGATAAATCTTGACCTGATGAACATTTTTACCCCATGTCAGATTTGCTCTAAATGCTTTAGTTTCAGAGCTATAAGCCAAACTGCATTTTACCTCCCCCCGTTCTACTTTCAGCCACGGCGGCCATATTGGTTGATGGGCGGGGTCATCGGATACATTTTTAAACCAGATACCCTAAGGATGATTTATGCCAAGTTTGGTTTAATTTGGCCCAGTAGTTTCAGAGAAGATTTTTGTAAAAGATTACAAAAATTTGCAAAAAAAAATGTTAAAAATTGATTTTAAAGGACAATAGCTCATTATGGGGTCTATTGACAATTTTGGTCATGTTGACTTATTTTTAGATCTTACTTCGCTGAACAATTTTGCAAAGGGCCAAGTGAGCTTTTCTCATCACTTGGCGTCCGTCGTCCGTCGTGAACTTTTACAAAAATCTTCTCCTCTGAAACTACTGGGCCAAAGTTAATCAAACTTGGCCACAATCATCATTGGGATATCTAGTTTGAAAACTGTGTCCGATGACCCGGCCCGCCAACCAAGATGGCCACCATGGCTAAAAATAGAACATAGGGGGTAAAATGTAGATTTTGGCTTATATCTCTAAAATCAAAGCATTTAGAACAAATCTAAATGGAGTAAAATTGTTCATCAGGTCAAGATCTATCTGCCCTGAAATTTTCAGACAAATCAGACAACCTGTTGTTGGGTTGCTGCCCCTGAATCGGTAATTTTAAGAAAATTTTGCAGTTTTTGGTTATTATCTTCAATATTAATATAGATAGAGATAAACTGTAAACAGCAATAATGTACAACAAAGTAAGATCTACAAATAAGTCAACATTACCAAAATAGTCAATTGACCCCTTAAGGAGTTTTTGCCCTTTATAGTCAATTTTTAACAATTTTTCGTAAATTTTGTAATCTTTAACAAAAATCTTCTCCTCTGAAACTACGGAGATCAAACTTGGCCACAATCATCATGAGGGTATCTAGTTTTATAAATGTGTCCGCTGACCCCGCCTACCAACCAACATGGCCGACACAGCTAAAATATATCACAGGGGTAAAATGCAGATTTTGGCTTATATCTCTAAAATTAAAGCATTTAGAGCAAATCTGACAGGGAGTTAAAATGTTCAACAGGGTAAGATCTATTTGTCCTAAAATTTTCAGACAAATCATACAACCCGTAGTTGGGTTGCTGCCCCTGAATCGGTAATTTCAAGAAAATTTTGCAGTTTTTGTTTATTATCTTGAATATTATTATAGATAGAGATAAACTGTAAACAGCAATAATGTTCAGAAAAGTAAGATCTACAAATAAGTTAAATGACCAGAATGGTCAATTGACTCCTTAAGGAGTTATTGCCCTTTAAAGTCAATTTTTAACAATTTGTTTGCAAATTTTTGTAATCTTTAACAAAAATCTTCTCCTCTGAGACAAATTTAACCAAACTTGGCCACAAACATTATTCGGGTATCTAGTTTATAAAATGTGTCCGATGACCCCGCCTACCAACCAACATAGCCGACATAGCTAAAAATAGAATATAGGTGTAAAATGCAAGTTTTGTTTATTCTTTTTTGAACCGTTATAGAGAAAATCTTAAAGGAGCAAAAATGTTCAGAATAATGAGCTCTACCAATTGTCCATATACGTCAAAACTGTTAGACAAATTCTTATAGGAGTTATTGCCCATAAATGACATATTTTACCATTTATTTTTTTCATTTTTGCTTATTATCATGAAAACTATGACATTTAGAGAGAAACATTTTTTTCTTCCGTTATGCCTTATATGATTTAAATTATAATAGATAAATAGACACTTTTAATCACAAAAATGATCAGCAAGGCAAGATCTATTAAAAAGACAAATTTTGCCGATATAGTTAGTAGACTGTCACTCTTCATAGGAGTGATTGACCTTAAACAAGGATTTTGTTTACCCTCTTTTGTATTTTGAGCAAAAACTAAAGAAGATAGAAACTAAACTTGAGACTACTGTTATAGTAGTCTCAGACTAAACAGACTAAAAAATCAGTTATACAAGATCAACAAAATAGAGATTTTTGTCATGAAGTCTATTCTCGTCTACAATGTTGGAGAGTGTCCTTTGTTTGATTTGCACATAGACCAAGGTGAGCGACACAGGCTCTTTAGAGCCTCTAGTTTGAAATTATAGCAACTTTGAATGTCTGCCATGCTTCATGTGAAAAATATTTTTTTTAATCTTGAAATGTTTATATTTTCAAACTGGATACAAAAACAAATAATCATGATTCATTTCTTTAAACTTCTGAAAAAACGACTGTTTTCCCATTTAAATGTCGACTTTAGCCAGGAAGCTACCTCAAATTTCCCAAAAAAGCACCTCAGAATGGAACATACAGTGGTTGCCTTCTATCTAGCACGTTGTAATGTTGTCTATCGGAAGAGAGATAAATTATTTTTTGGAAGAAAACTATGCCTAACATTGAACAGCATTTTGCTTAGGTTCTTCTGTTACCTATTCTGACATCGGACTCGGACTTCTTTTAAACTGAGTTTAACTGTGCGTATTGCTGTGTGTTTGTTTATTCTACATTTGCTAGAGGTATAGGGGGAGGTTGAGATCTCACAAAACATGTTTAACCCCGCCGCACATTGCGCCTGTCCCAAGTCAGGAGCATCTGGTCTTTGTTAGTCTTGTATGTTTTTTTAAATTTTGGTTCATTTATATGTTTCGGAGTTTAGTGTGACGTCCATTTTTGCTGAACTGGTACACATTTTACGGGTGCGGGATTTTCTCGCTGTGTTGAAGACCCATTGGTGGCCTTGGGCTGTTTTTCTGCTCTTTGGTTGGGTTGAGGTCTCTTTGACACATTCCCCGTTTCCATTCTCAATTTTAGTCTTAAGATTTTGCCATCATTATTCAAATTGTACTTTTATCTTTTTATCAAGGTAGATTTTTTTATCGATTTAGATCAACAGATTAATATGGTGAAAACACATGCACTTGGCAGACACGATAAACAGTCATTTTGCAATACACCTTATCGCTATTTATTCAAATCCGGATAAGTTCTAAAATTACAACCTTTTAGCGATCTGGGGCCCTGTTTAAACAATATATTATGCATTAAACTTTTCAAAGAGAAATGTTTAAACAATCGTAAACATTACAAACAATGCATTTTTATTACTTTAATTTGTGTTTAAAAAAAGTGAATCATAATATAATTTATCAAAGTTTCAAAATGTTTGCTTTCTAAACTTTTTCCTCACTTAGCTCGTTACTGATGACCTTTGTTTTTGCAACACTTGACCCAAACAAGAAGTTGTCTAAGTGACTGTTTTTTTTTCGGATTGGTCTAAAGGTAGCGATAAGATGTATTGTCCCTCCGTTTGAGTCAACCTTATAAATCAAAGCGACAAATAGTTTTAATAATTAAATTATTTTTCTTTTCAAGTAAAAAATACTCAGAATATGTAAAAGTTCGGAACAAAATACCGGGCCGGTTGCAGAAGACTTTGAGAAAAAGACCATCGCCGAAAACAACTGAGCGTTTTGTTTAGACTTTTATAATGAGTAAACATGTAAAGTAAACAATTTTTGCAAGTTAGTTTGTCCCAGTCCCAGATTTCTTTTGGAAACAAATAAAAAAAGTGGAGAAATGTTACAAATCTATGAAATGCAGTAGATGTAAATACCTTTTTAACACCTTTCAGTAGGTTGTCGGAATCAGGACAACTGACCAAAGACAAATCGGACCAAGACATCTCGGACAATTTTAAGAAAACTCGGACCACTTTCAAAGACAACTCTGACCAGTTTGAAACACTGTTCAGACCAGTGTTTTGTCTAGATTTGACTGAAGTTGTTTTATACGTATACATATATAACATTGAAATTAAATCGAACATTTGAAAGTATAGACCCCTTGATAATTTTGTTTAAATATTCTTCAGATTCTTATGTTATCTTTTAAAGTACACGTATGTCTGTAAACCCAATATTAGATTTAATGCATGTCAAAACATTAAGCGATGAACATTTACATTTTTCTTTAGAAATAAAGTAGTTATATTTTATAGAAAAATATATTACATCATTCTCGATTTTAATCCTTTTTCAATTTAACATTTTGTACGCCAAACGAGTGTTTCGTTTACAAAGTAGTCATCAGTAACGCTCGAATGAACAAGGATATCAACTGGAATCGATACTACAGTTCTTCTCTACTTTTCATATTTAAACCATATTCTTTTCGGAGTCCTATATAAACGTTTCTAGGATTATTAGGTGAAAATGTTTCCAACGTTGTTAATACGCTTAACCGTTCTCTTTCAAATTTGTTACTTAACATTGCTTGTTCATAAAAATCAACCGTTTCCTTTGCAGCCTGTTCGAAAGACGTGGGCTTAAAACCAAGTTTATGCTTTGCTTTTTCACAGCATATTGGACCTCTTGTAACGGACGGAAATAAGTGAACAACATCTTCATTGTCAGACACTTGAATATCAATATCTTGCTTTTCCATATGTTTTTTCATCATTTCAAGAACTTCTGGCAGCGTTGGCGTCTCATCAAAAGCAAAGTTGTATGCTTCGTCTAAAAGGTCTTTGTCATAATTCAAACTTTGTGATACAATTTTTGCAACGTCTTCAACATAAACGAAGCTCATCGGAAAGTTAACAAGATTTTTCGGAATAGATATTTCTGTCTCTAAGTATGGTGATAATCGCAACCAAGCCTGGTATATCCACCAACGGTACGTGTTATCACGTGATCCAATAACATCCGGCAATCTGATGAAGAAGTATGGCATCCCACCTTGCTTTCTCTGTTCTACCAAAACCTCTTCCCCTGAAAATTTCCGATGTCCGTAATCATCTTTCTTGTTTAAAATCTCCTGCTCTGGAATATCACCCGGTCGTACAGAATCGGTCTCTACCGTTGGCCGAGTATGGTTTTTCGTGCAGACCTCGTATACAGAGTCAGAACTGATGTAGATATAACGCCCTACTCGTCCTGCAATTAAAAAAAATCATATTTGTGCACGCCAAAGACGCGTATTTAATAGCTATTTTTTTGTCAAATGCTTTGCATATGGCAACATTTTCTGCATTTAGTTGGTTTGCATGTATAAAAAGGGGGGTTCCTTTTTGTTTGACAACTAATGCTTTTGTATGGGGAATTAAGGTTGGACCCCCCTCCCCCCTACCTTTTAAAATGGCTGGATCCGCGCCTGAAGTTTGAAGGTTTATTGCAATTATCATAAATTTTGTTATCTATGTTTTTAATTGACTTTGATACGAGTCTTTATAACTAATATAGATATATAGATTAAAGGATAAATGTGCCATGTACATAACAAACTAAGATCTCGATGAAAGTTACCGGCGGAATGAGTCAGTGTTGCACCTCATCCTTTTATTATTTATTTTTTTATTTATTGAAATTCACTGGATATATTTATTACATTGGTTGCAATAAATTACCTTGCCTGATTTCTCAGTGAAATAAATACCGATAATTTCACATGTGAAATGATACATTATAAAAAAGATAAAATTGAGAACAGAAATGGGGAATGTGTTTATAATATGACCGAAAATAGTATTGAGGTTCTTTTCATCCGAACAGAACCTCCGTAAAAATATGAAGTCGACTTACCTTGCAGAAGTTTCAATGTATCCTTGATTATATACGGATCAAAACCACTGAAATCTACAATTGCATCATAAAAATCATACTGTTCTGCACTCCAGCAATCCATTAAACTTTTCATTCGATCACATTTCAAATGCTTTATCCGTGGCTTGATAGTATCGTCAGTGTCCCAGTACCAGTTTCCTCTGGTAACCAAAGTCAAATCGTGTCCATTTTCTAGCATTTTATTTACGCTGGCTGCACCAATAAGACCATTTCCACCAAACAGCAGCACCTTTTTAACACCACCCGCGTTAGTCCAAAGAACAAGAGAGAAGAGTATTATAAATGATATCAATAAGCCCATGATTTCTAACTGAACAATACTTTCGTGTCTCCACTTTTAAAAACAAGATAAATAAAGTAAATGGCCTTGATGTTCAGTAGTTGTTGTTTGTTGATGTGGTTCATAAATGTTTCCCGTTTCCCGTTTTTTATATAGATTTTCCTGTTTGAATGGTTTTACAGTTAGTAATTTTTGGGGCCATTTATTATAGCTTGCTGTGCGGTGTGAGCCAAGGCTCTGTGTTGAAGACCGTACTTTGACCTATAATGGTTTACTTTTATAAATTGTGACTTGGATGGGGAGTTGTCTTATTGGCACTCATACGTACCACATCTTCTTATATCTATTAAGAGATAGAATGTGTTGAGATTTTTCAATTTTAATATAAAACATGATCATATTACAGGTGTAAATGTTAACATTAATATTTGCATTGATCCCTGGTTTGCAGTAATACTAGATTACAAGGATCATCACCATCTTAAGGGACAACCAATTGATTTTCTTGGGTGGGAAAAAAGGGGGGGTAGGAGGATTTTGAAAGTGAATATCCCAGTCTGGAACGACCTGATAAAATATTGCCCAAAACCGGATAAAAATGAATTATCTGCAACACAAAAATGCAGGAATTTTTTTATGTGTACAAAACTTTTTGTATGTTGATTTGTACCAAAGTCAAGTCGAAAAAAAAACCAACTTGCATAGCATTAGATAAAACTGCAAAAAAATCATCCTGTCCACCACTGTCATATCCCATGCAGTATCTTTTCTGTGTCTTATATATATAATATTGGTAAGAGATTGGCAAATGATAGGGTTTCCATTTCATAAAAATGTTTAAAGTTTGAATGTTTTCTGTAACTTAATCAGTAAAACCAGTATCATGAGTATGTCTATTCCTTATCGAGACAAAAGACTGACCTTTCGTATGGGAGGGGTGGGCATGGAAATGAAGGAACGGGAAGCGGGAGAAGAAAAGGGGGGTAAAAATGGGATATGTTGGAAAAAATATTCTGTCCGATTTTCGTCTGGGAGCAAGGGAAGGGAAGAGGGACTTGGGTTATGGAGAAGTGGGAATAAAGGACCCCCTAAACCCCCCTCCTATGGCCTTTTCAGCTACCGGTTTAGTGTGTCGTCTGCTTGAAATCTACGAAAGTTACCCGGGATTGTTTTACCAGATGATTAAAGCAGCAATAAAAAGGAGACATAACACATATTTACCCGTGAGGCTATCATTTCAACCTTTTCTCGTACAACCAGCACGTCCTACTTTTATTAACTGTACAATCGAGAATCCAAAAATCTTTTATTTACGAACTGACAGGTGCGTGTTGACGCCATTTTCAGACCTTCACATAAAAGAGCTTTGGGACAGAGGTCGGTAATCGGATGTCGGTGCGGAGAGATTCCGAAACGTTTGTGAAACACTCGTTAACTTGGTCGGTAAATTATTCTACGACCAGTCGTAAATCGTACGATTTACGATCTTTTGTGAAACGATAACCAGGTCGTACTTTGACCTATAATGGTTTACTTTTACAAATTGTGACTTGGATGGAGAGTAGTCTCATTTCCAGAACTCAAACCACATCTTCTTATATCTATAGGCTCACTATTGCACATATAAAGTTATTCAATGTTTACACTTATTAAGCATTTAAAGGGAGTTTTTGTAACCAAGATTCGTAAACATTCATGCGTTTGTCATTCAGTAAGTACAGTTCGAGTTAAAATTGAAATTCTCAAGTTCATCTATATTGATGACTTGGCATGAATTCAACATGTACACTACGTTTTTGTATACAAATTGTGTACATACCTCAGCATATTTTTAATATTATATATCGGCTTCTCTCAGCTTGATGTTGGTTATCGCTTAAGGACGCACAAAGTCCGGAATCAACTGTACGGTGGTTAAACCCAGTGTATATTCAATTAAGCATGTACGATAAGTTTGGATTTTAAATTGTTAATATCATCAATATCAAAATTTTCAAATGAGTATTGTCAGTTTTTTGCATGGCCATTATCACATAAAACCACAATGAAAATAAATCGCACCTCCAAATATCACACATCAGAAATGATCGCACCTACAGTGATAATACATTACACTAATAGTTAAAATGAATCGCTTTCAATAATCGATGTTCTAGATTCTGTTGCTTTGATAATACATTTTTGGACTTTAATCCTGTTAGTGTACATTGAAGGTCCAAGTTGACATGGATCCATTGACACAGATGGACTACTTTAACATAGAATCTATGACAAACTTCCCAACTTCCCCATTTCTCAGCAGTAAAAAATAGGATGAAAAATTTTGTCCTGCTTTTTTTTTTAGTTGTAATCTCTGTCCTGCCTTTTTATTTTTCACTCTATTCGATCCTGCATTTTTTTATTAGTTTATTCTACCTTTTTTTACCTGAATTGTCATCCTGCCTTTTTTTCTGCCAAGTTGCTCATTCTGCCTTTTTTTCACTCCAAATTCCTGTCCTGCTTTTTTTTCAAATTTCATCCTACCCCCCTTTAACTTTAATCTAGTTCTTATAGTATTCTAAACATTACCCAAGAACTGGCAAAAATTAATTGTACACATGCTATACATGCAGCAGACATAATTTGGTATAAACCCATCATTCGATTCCACGGGCATGGTGAGCAAAAAATTGATCCGTGAGACAAGATTTTGCCCCACACAGATTCCATTCAATACTAGAACATAGATTCTTTTTGTATTATAATAATTCCATGCAATAAATTGCTTCCCCGAGCGCAGCTGGATACGACCGCAGAGGTCCAACCCTGAACAGTTGGGGCAAAAATGGACACAATATTCGCGCATAAACAGGTCTGAATTTGGATTGTAATTAAATATTTGACACATAATAGGTTTCTGACACAGAATAACTGTAGTCAAAGAACTTAGAATTGGTTATATGATTGAATTTATATTCAATTTTTTGCTTTTGTGCAATACGCTTTTCTGTTGCGAATTGACCACCTCCAACCACAAAAAAAAAAAAAAAAAAAATTACCCCCCCCCCCCCCTTTTTTTTTGCTTTTGTGCAATGCACTTTGCTGTTGCTTATTGACCCCCCCCTAAAAAAAATTTTTTTTCACCTCCCCGCCCCCCCCCCCCCCCCCCCCCTTTTTCCCAAAAAAATTCTTTCCCTCAAGATATGGTCATAATATCAATTCAAACTTTCAGTGGAGTTTGCGACCATAATTACCCATTTAAATACATCATAAAAGTCTTAAAATAGAAAATGACATACATAAATAATCATGGCTAAAATTAATATTCCTTAATAGTAACTTCTAAAAATAAATTGACAGCTAATCATCTCAAGACAATACAGCATTTCTTTATACAAAATTTATAAGCAGTGTAAGGGAGTTAATCAAAACGTTGTGTTAAATTGTCTTAAGTAATTGTCCATTAACCAGGAAAACCTTGTTTTCCCCCTTTTTTGCCCCTATTTCCTAAACGGTTTGAGCCATAACCCCCCAAAGCAAATCCTAACCATCACTTTGTGGTATAATTTCAGAGAGATCCATACACCATTCCACAAGTTATTATCTGGAAACTAGAAAAATGCTTATTTGGGCCCCTTTTTGGCCCCTAATTCCTAAACTGTTAGGACCATAACCCCCAAAATCAATCCCAACCTTCCTTTTGTGGTTATAAACCTTGTGTTTAAATTTCATAGATTTCTATTTAATTTTACTAAAGTTATTGTCCGGAAACCAACTGTCTTTGGAAGACGCAGACGATGACACGACATGATACCAATATACGACCGCAAAATTTTTTTGCGGTCGTATAAAAATGCCAGGTGATCTATACAAGGGTCCTACGAGCCTCCAGTTTGTAAATTTTCTTAAAATGATCAGTATAACCATACTTAATGTTCCTTCCATTTTTATAGGATTTGAAAATTAAACATCATGTTAAAGCTTTTCTATACTGTTACTTATATTAGCAAAGTGATTATAATAAGTTCAGCAAATATCGGTTTTTTAACCATTTCCTTTAGCAATTTAGGGGACTGCTTATGTTACCAATGAAAATAATAAATTCAAATAAATTGAAATACAGTTTAAAATTTATTGCACAAAGTATGAGTCATAAAAAAATACAAATATTATTCATTACTGACATATGTATATGAGTATCACAACTGTTCCCCTTGTTTTTTAAGGGCTGATGTCTTCTTTGAAATTGATCCGTCATTAGATTATGCTAGAAGAATTCAATTTTCCCTCTCAATGCTCATCTGAATCTAAAGTATTTCTTTACTAAATTCCATAGTATAAATAAGATAAAGCTGTAATATAGATTTGGTTGCTCGCAGTTACTTGTTCTTTTCCCTTGCAAACAATGTTTAATAACATAATAATCTAATATAATTTAATTACAATATTCATATTGACATTTTCATGCAACAAATTGTCCAACACATTACTATATCTAAATGAACATAAACTCTATATGATCCATGTTCATAAATATGACAATAAACATCAAACTGTTCGCTGTAGTTACTGATTGCACTTTCGATGAACTGACAGCTCAACCATTCCTTTAAATAATATAATGGAACCCCACCCATTAAACCACCAAAGGATTTGACATGCATATATATTACCCATATATCTAAATCTATAACAACAAGAACCCGTTTTACAACTGCTCTAACCAGTTTTGAACATATATAAATAATATAACTATATTAAACAGAGAAATCCCTAAATTCAAACGAAAAAGAAAAATATTTGTTTGTTGCTAAAATACCCCATAATGCATGAATGCAAGATAAATTTTAAATTCTGGCAAGTGATTACAATTTTGTCACAAGTTCATTAATTCTATGAAGTACATCAACAGATATTAAATTTAGGATGGCATGATTTCTTATCATAAACTTTGACCTTGAGCATTCTTGATTTTTAGTTTTTATTGATTGTTATTCTATTTATGTTTTGTAAATCTACTGATTGAGTTTAAAAAGAGGTTGCTGTCTTGATGTCTTTTGGCTATTTTTTTGTTGTTGAGTTTCTGTTTCTTTGATGTCTAACCAAAATATCCTTTTTATTGAAATAAATTGCTGTCTCAGAGAAAAACAATTTCATTAAGTTGAAATAACACAAAAGTAGTTTTGTTGACATAAGTAAGCTAAAACACTATACATCATATTACAGATCTGTCAAATGTCCAAGCATTGTGTGTAAAGATGTATACAACCTACCATTTATCATTGGCAATTTTGCTGTTAAACGGTATATATATATATATTGATTAAATAGCTTTCTACTGCTAGTACATGCTTAGTTCCCCAATAACAGTGTCTTTTTCATGCTTGTGAACTTCCACTGCTCCATGTATAAACACTTCAGATTGAAGGTTAGAATTGTAAAACTCAGGCTTAAATATGGTTACAAGCTGGCTTTATTACTACAGGAAAATAAACAAAAAAGGTTTACCCCATGCATGCTTTATCCCAGTTGCACAGTTGTTCAAAAAATTAAACCTGATAAATATAACTAATGCAGACAATGTATATCTCTGTAACTTTAAAATTTGAGTACTTTTAAATATTTAGGAAATATTTTGAGTACTAAATATTTAGAGTAACAGAAAACAATTTTACTACATTCATACTTTTTCCATATTGTTTATATATAGCACATGTATAAATCAAATAATCATAAGAAACTATGTTTACATCTGTAATATGTATATAAACATATTGTCTACTCTATGGTCGGGTTGTTGTCTCTTTGACACATTCCCTATTTCCATTCTCAATTTTATATTACATTTTCAACAATTTTATACATAGTGTGAACATATTCAAACATATTTTAAAACTTCTATATACATTTCCAACAAATCATTTATTACAAGGTTAGGACATGAGTATTTTAATATGTGTCAATACAATTGAGATAGTACATTGGCTATGACTATAAAATGATTTACATTTTAAAATATCATCACAAGAAGAAAAATCTCATAACGGATTGTCAACATAGTAGTGAACAGTCAAAATGTCAATGTAAATATCACTTGTTTTAATTAGATGTGTCTATATCAATGGTCTTAAACTGGTAAATGTAAACAGCAAACTATATCATTGTATATACCATAACCACAACATTACAGATCAAATGTAAACCATGCAGTTTTACATTATGAAAAAAATAGTAGGAAAATCCATATTGAGGGTTCCCTTCTCCATGGAAAGTCAAGCTAGGTAGTTAACTGAAGGTAAAGGTTGCTATGCAGTTGTGTCGGGGAGAATTGTGTAAGCACCTGAAAAAAAAAAAAAACATTATATGAGTTTCTATTTAAATGGATGAAATAAAGTTTACAGTATTAATACTGTTTTTAAAACAATATAGATCCAAGAATTTTATCTTAATGTAAAACAATTAAACAATTCAAAAACAACATGAATTGTTAACTTGATTGATCATAACAACTGATGGCTTAAAAGTAGAGCAATCTAAAATACACATCTGGTCCTAAATTATAGGGAATGTTCTAAATGTATAAAAAATATTTAGAAAATAGAGAAAAATATTGGAGTTTACAGAAAGATTGCACTTTATGAATAGTAGTTGTCACATACTGTCAGCATAAACTTTGTAATAATTTTTGTGTTTGCAAATATTTGTATTTAATGGCCATAGCTTTCAAGATTTATGGTCATCCAGAAACTAATTGCAAATAAACAGTAGTCAATATAAAATATGCATTTTGTTATATTCTATTTGAAAAAAAAAACAAGTAAACAAACTAATCATAGATATAAGGCTTAAAATTGTGTATGCCAGACGTGCGTTGCGTCTACAAAAGATTTTTCAGCGACGCTCGAATCAAAGATGTTGTATTAAAATAAATTGATTGAAATTCACAGGATGAACACAAATTAACTTATTTAGATTTCAAAGAAAACTGCAGTAAATGATGACAATATCATCATACTTTTGAGAGATAGCAACGAGACTGTATATATTTATGTAAGTATAGTTTACTCTAGACTGCCAACGACATACATTCATAGGCTAGCTTAGTTCTATTTTTACAAAGATGTCTCCTTATTTTTTATTTGAATACACTGCATGCAATCAATTTCTATCCAATGATCCTTATACATACAAATATAGCTGTAACTTACATATTTTTCAAATAATTACCGTCTAAACTTGTGTCCTTAGGGTTCTTTAAGACAAAGAGTATCTGTTAAGCTACTTGTCAGAATATTTAATATTTGCACAATGAAAAAATTCCGAAATCATGTAAGAGTGACTTAAGTAGCAGGGCCTCATGTTTACTATCAATGAAATCAAATTGGATGCTAATCCAATGACATATCAGATATCGCTGGTTTATTATAATCTACAATTGACCCGATTTATTCTTAAAATATAACATTTGACATTGTTGTTGTTAATGTTCAAGGTGAGGCGAAAGTCTCATCTACTAAGAAATTCAACAAAGACAAGAAAACTGGTGAGGTCTCCTTATAACCCTTTATTATTCCGTTCACTTTTAGTGATTCATTTGAAGATACAAATAACAACCAAAAGAAAAAAATATTAGTATATATTTAATCTGATTAATATTTCATTACTAAAATTATCCCTGAGGAAATTAAGGATGTATAATTGTCAACAAAAAATGTATGCATCTTCATTGATGATAAATGGCTGGTAAAGAATGTAAATGAAAGTGTAAATTGCAAGTCACAATCCATGCACAAATAGTTTGTTCATAACAGTTAGTAGTATTAGTATCTGAAGTAGTATTAGTATCTGAAGTAGTATTAGTAGCTGAAGTAGTATTAGTATCTGAAGTAGTATTAGTAGCTGAAGTAGTATTAGTAGTTGTAGTAGTAAAAATGGATGGTAGTGGTGGTATATAATGGTGAAAATAAAGGTGGTCATAGTGACGGCTGATGGTGGTGGTAGTGGTGGTGGCTGATGGCAAAGCTAGATTGATCCAGTGGCAAATATGTCATGCAGGAAGATGTAGAACTCATGCTGTTTGAGATGGTAGAGGTGACTGGTGAGATTGTTGTTAGTGATGGTAGTTAGTTATGTAAGTAGTAGTGGTGGTTGGTTATAGGATAAGTAGTGTTGCTGGTTTTTGGTTAGTTCTCATGGCAGTTGGTGATGGTGGTACAGTACTAGTCCACCCATGCCCCACGGCACCAAATAAATATATTGATGATCTATTCTGTAAAACAAAAAACATGGCAACTCACACTCCAAAACTGTTTAAGACCTAATATCCACTTATGCAACAAATACGCAATGCAAATGTTTCAAATAAACCTAACTTACAAGTTGTCAATAGTGTTCCATTGACATACATACATTAAGCCAGTACTGACCACAACAAGAAGTTAAATGACTGATTTAGACCTGCATACCACTGTAAACCAATTTTACAAAAATTCTCAAGACAGTCATTTTCAAAGTTATTTAATCAATCTTCATGAATATTTTGGCTAGAAAAAAAAAATAATTGGAGTATCAAAATCTCTTTAATAGAGTTTTGGCATTTTTGGTTTTATTTTCAGTTGATTTTTCCTGAAAACAATTAGGTAGGGAAACACTAATGTGCATTAGAATACAGCATCTATTTTCTTGAAAACAGTTTGGAAATAAGTGTCAAATGATGATTTGTATCAATAGCACAACTTTATATTAAGAATTTCCTATTTCTGTTGTTGAAAAAAATATCTTAAAATTGAAACAAAACATTTTGCATCAAAAACCTCTGAATTTCATGTGCTTGCACATGGTTTAAGACAACATTATGGATACACACAACACTGAATGTTCACCTCTTACTCAATGATTGATTTAAAATAGATTATGACGTGGTAGCACTACGCTCAAAATAACATAATGTTCAATTTGTAAATCAATGACTTGCTCGACAAAATCCTTTATGACATTGAATCCACAATATCTATGACACCAATCTACAAGTTTGTTCACAACTATTGTATTCAAATATTACACACCATAGGAAGAAGAAGAAAAACACTCTTCCGAACTGCTGCCTTCAAAAAATATAAAGAATGAATTTTTTCTTGTATTTTGCTGAACACATCAATTCTTGGATTACCCAGATACTCATTAAATCCACAAAAAATTATTATTCCACAAAAAATTAAAAAATCCACAGTATTAAGAAAGGAGACATGATTCTTACAGAGAATTTCAATGAGGAAATAATCTAACAGTTCTTAAATAAATTAAATATGTGAATGGAATAATTTACATAGCTTATACATGTAAACATATATCTAATTTTGTACAGAATCTTTCATTGGTACATAATTACTTTGTTCAGCTTTTCTTTGATCTCTTTTCATCAATAGCATCACAAATACAAATATAAATGCTGCATACAGATATGGCCCTGGGTACAGTATGTATAAAGCAGCTGCAAAAAACAAAATTATTTTCAAACCAACTTCATTGCTTCTAACATCTCTACAGCCATCTAATTACTAGGTATATATTTCATAATTTTAAAAGACAATAGTTTTCTTTTTCAGTTTTATCTTTTTTTTTGTCATAATTTCATTTTTGTTTATATAGTTTTTTATGTTTCTTTCTTTTCACTTGTTTATTTGATTGTTTTTTTTTCATTTCTATGAGGGGAGTATTTTTATTTTTAAGTGAAGAAAAGAAAATATTATCAATGTGAAAAAATTACAATTCAAACCAGCAGTGAAAAATGAAAATTATAAGCAAAATGTTTCTTGAATGCCGAGTGGTCAAGATAAATGATAAATTATAAAGAAACTAAGGTCCCAACTCCTTCAGGCAAAGCTGACCATTAAATTAATCTAGCTATTCTGTTTTGGCCCTTATTGATTATAAAGGTCCTAAAATTTTGACGTATCTATACATCTCTACAATGTTTAGGTTTGAGCGTTCCTGATGAACGTAAATCCAGAAAAGTGCTTCAGATACATGAAATTATTCTAGTGTTATTTTCATTCACAATTCTAAAAACAGAAAGTGCTTCAGGAGCTTAAAATGCATTTTATCAATTACTATGCCATATAAAAAAAAAACAAATGTAACAGTAATGGGATGAATATCAGAGAACACTCAGGTTGACGCTATGAGGTTGTTATGTCCTTTAGTCGTGTAGTACGGTGTGTGTTCTTTAGCTCATCCCTTAAGACCAACAACGTCAACATGACAAATTGCAATTAAAGCAATGTAACTGGTATTTATATATTTCCTAGTAATTCATGGCTTTGCTGCTCATGTACATACAATGGCTCAAGTAGGATATAGGGACAAATAGTTCCGGTTAAAAATATATTCATACGCTCAAAAAATAGAAAATCATACGTGCAAAGATATTTTGCAATCTTACTAAATTCAAATAACGTTGAAGTTGTTTCTAATAGTGAGGTCGGCAGTTAGCAGTCGGCACTTAAATGTATACTTAATAATAAGGTAGGCAGTCAGCAGTCTGCACTTATTAGTTAGTAAATGTTCCCTAAAAAGTAAGGTCGGCAGGTCTGCAATTATTAGTGAGTATATGTTTACTAAAAATTAAGGTCGGCAGTCAGCACTTATTAGTAAATGTTTACTAAAATACTAAGGTCAGCAGGCCAGAACTTATTGGTAAATGTTTTCTATAAAATAGTAAGGTCGGCAGGTCGGCAGTCGGCACTTATTTATCTATGTATGCTTAAAAGTAAGGTCGGCAGGTCGGCATTCAGCACTTATTCGTCTACGTATGCTTAAAAGTAAGGTTGGCAGGTCGGCAGTCGGCACTTATTCATCTATGTTTTCTTAAAAGTAAGGTTGGCAGTAGGAACTTATTAATCTATGTTTGCTAACAAGAAAGGTTGGCAGGTTGACAGTCGTCACTTATTCATCTATGTATGCTTAAAAGTAAGGTCGGTTGGTCGGCAGTTGGCACTTATTCATCTATGTATATGTATAATGTAGTACACTACTATTTTATAAATGCCGACTTCATTAGTAGACAATACATATCTTCTAAATTTTTAATAAGTGCCGACCTGCCGACCACTAAATATAAAGGTATTACTACGTCATAAAAACATATTTTCCAAATTTTTAATAAGTGCCGACCTGCCGACCATTAAATATAAATACTAATAAAATTGAGAATGGAAATGGGGAATGTGTCAAAGAGACAACAACCCGACCATAGAACAGGCAACAGCAGAAGGTCACCAACAGGTTTTCAATGCAGCGAGAAATTCCCGCACCCGGAGGCGTCCTTCAGCTGGCCCCTAAACAAATATATATACTAGTTCAGTGATAATGAACGCCATACTAAACTCCAAATTGTACACAAGAAACTAAAATTAAAAAAAGATTAACAAAGGCCAGAGGCTCCTGACTTGGGACAGGCGCAAAAATGCGGCAGGGTTAAACATGTTTTTTGAGATCTCAACCCTCCCCCTATACCTCTAGTCAATGTAGAAAAAAACAAACGCACAACAGTACGCACAGTAAAACTCAGTATAAGAGAAGTCCGAGTCCGATGTCAGAATAGGAAACACAAGAAAATAAACAAAATGACAATAATACATAATAACAACAGACTACTAGCAGTTACTGACATGCCAGCTCCAGACCTCAATTTAACTGATTGAAAGATTATGTCTTCATCATATGAATATCAGGCACAATCCCTCCTGTTAGGGGTTTAGTATCATACCATCATAACATATATGAGAAGAACATCACCCGTGTCATGCCAACAACTGGTTTTTAAATAATTGTGTTTAGTGCCAATGCAAAGACCATATAAGTGAATCAATATTAACGCCAAAATATGCAATCTTTAATGACCTGACAACAGTATCGTAACTATATCCCTTCTTAATAAGTCTATTTAAAGGTTTTGTTAGCTTCAGAGGTGAATACTGACATTTTTGTGCTTTATAAAGAATATTTCCATAAAAAATTGGATGTGAAATACCTGAACGTATAAGAAGTCTGCATGTTGAGCTATATTTACGAATGATGTCCTTATACCGATGATAAAATTTAGTAAATGTTTTGACTAGTTTGTGATATCGAAAACCCTGGTGTAATAATTTTTCAGTAATACATAAATTTCTCTCGTTAAAATCTAAAACATTGTTACATACACGAGCGAATCGTACAAGTTGAGATATATAAACACCGTAAGATGGTGACAAGGGAACGTCACCATCTAAAAATGGATAATTAACGATAGGAAATGAAAAATCATCTCTTTTATCATATATTTTAGTATTAAGCTTTCCATTAATTACTGTATACTAATATTTAATAAGTGCTGACCTGCCGACCAATATATATAACACTAAGTTTTACAGTCATAAAAAAGATCCAACATGTCCAATTTTAATGAACTATTTAATCATAATTCATACCGATTTACTCAGTAATACCGATTTACTCATTAAATATTCCTTCTGCTGGAACTATGTACCCTTATACACTACTTAAACCCATACAATACTTTAAATTCAGAAATTTATGCAAAGTTTTTATTATTGCATAAATAGAGAAAAATAGGTTTCACAAAAAAACCTTTCATTTAAAATGTTGATAGAATTATTGTGTGCAACATTTCCTAAATCTTGCATTCTTGGCCATTGTTTAATAATGGCAATAATAAAAGTTTGCAAAAATTTCTAAATTTTCAGTATTCCTACTGAGGCCCCTCATGGGGGTGTCCAAGTATTAATCACATAATCACAAATTTTTTGCCAATATAATCACATAATCACTAATTATTTTTTTAAACAAGATAATCAAATAATCAATAATACAGTCCTAGATTATCAAATAATCAAATAATCATGAAATATTTGGTCTGGTAATTAAATAATCACTATAAAAACGGCCAAGTAATCACATAATCAAAAACCCCATGAGGAGGCTCCCTACTAAATCGCAATAATTAATCTCTTTTTCTTGTCCATTGTTGAACCATCCCAATAATAAATGCATGCAAAAATATCAGAATTTACAATATTTCTACTTAAAAAAACTGATGATAAAACTTACTTCTTAGTGCATTTACATCTGGATATTTTGGAATGTCATGCTTATGCATTTCTTTTATATGGTTCTTAATAACTGGTACAAGTAGCTGTATATTTCCACCAATGTTTGTAATTATAAATAAATAAACTGCTATTCCTGTCGTTCTGATATCAGACGGTACCAATTCCACTAACACTGCTATGGTGATGCCTATCCACATCTCACCTGTAAATATATAAATAAATATACTCAACTATATATGTCTATAATTCTCTCAGTGCTATCCATTTTTATAAGGATCAAGATATAAAAGGGTATTGTTGAACACCTTCCTGAATAACCCTTGCCCCATGTAAAAGTGTATATCACTAATCAGTTATGTTATCAGTGATTGTTGTTCCTTGCACTTTTGTTTGGCTTCTAGAAAAAAAAATATCTTCATATTATTGTGATATGGGGTAGCTGTTATTTAGATATACCATGTATGAGGGGCGGAAGGACCTTTTTTAGACATCAGGATTGGGACTTTATTTTTGCAGAAATTGGGGATTTACACTTTTTAGGACTCAGGAATTAATGATTAATTTTTTCTTGATCTGGGAAAAAATGCTTTTTCAGGAATTCAGGATTCATTGTTTTTCAATTTTGAGATTTAAGAATCAAAGAAATAAATAAAACTGATCAATATCATCAGGAACATATATACTGTTCCCAGATATTATGTTGAACTCAAAACAAACTTCACATCAGAGAAAAGTTCTACCACATCTGTCTAATCTACAGGTGTCTGACTATACTTACCAAATAGATATGTTGGTATTTGGCATAAGTAAGCACCAGGTGGCATAAAAAATAAAGTTCCAGCAGCAAATGGTGCAGCTAATACCTGGAAAATATGTACAATAAAATCAGGTTTTATATCTATATACAAATAAAAAGATGATGTATGATTGTTAATTAGACAACTATCATATTTCTTATCAATGGCCACCTTGTCCAAAGGTGTATAATTCCACAGATTAGCAACTAGACAATATTTAAGTACAAATGAAAATCTCAAAAATCACAAAACTCAACAAATCTATATCATGAATCAACTTTTAATTGCATCAAAACTTTACTATCATCATTTTAATTGAATCATTAAAGTACTATCAAAAACAAAAATATGCTTCATGTTGCCTTATTTTGTAAAGATCTTGCCTTTTAAAGGATTTTTTGAAATATTTGTTTTACTGCATTTCATGTCAAATTGTACAAGGTTAGTTACAATCACATCCATTTTTGAGGGATTCATGTCAAATTGTACAAGGTTAGTTACAATGACATCCATTTTTGAGGGGTGTTCATAAGATCAAGAACCACAATTATTCCATACGTAATGATTACATATGTAAGAATTACACAAAGTTTGGTAATGATTGATTTTATCTAAAGGTCAGGATTGTCAGAACTTTTTTAACTGTTTTTTTCTTGTCAAATCTTACATTCAAATAAATAGTGGCAGTCATCCTTGATAGAGATCAACCTTCATTCTCTTTTTGTCTTAGTAGTATTAACATTCTAGACATTTATAAACCAGCTTATTTTAATGTAAAGTTCTATCTAACTGACTTTGTGAAAATTAATTTTCACAATTTTCTAATTTTATTGATGTATCCTAATAAGAGAAGATCTAAGTTTGACATAGTTGTGTCAATTTATATTTTTCTACATGCATATACAGTCAAACAGGTATTTAGCATTGTTTTAGTGTTTTCAATCGGTAGAGTTATCGTACTTGCGAGCAATGAAATAAAAAATGGCGGATCTCTGCGCTGTAAGAGCGAAGAAAATGTTGATATATGATAATATTTGTGGGGAAATAAGTCACTGATACTGTTTTCAATGGAAACTGAAAAGAGTGGAACAAGGTGAGTTCAAAATTCACCTTCTATTGCGTGATCTCGGTTGCAAACGGTTTAGATTTTCATTTTGACTTCAACATTGACAACATATATTTTTCGTCATGAAGATTTTTGGTAGTTAAAAACATTAAAATGACGATTTCGTTCAAAAATAAAATGCTTCGCTGGGCGCAGCTTGATACGACCGCAGAGGTCGAACCCTGAACAGTTGGGGCAAGTATGGACACAACATTCAAGCTTGATACAGCTCTGAATTTTGATTGTGATTAAATATTTGACACAGCATAGGTTTCTGACACAGAAAGAATGTGGTCTAAGAACTTCAATTTTTTTAATTTACCTATTATGGTCCAATGTCCAAAATCAAAATACATGGTTAGATTCAGCATATCAAGGAACCCCATATATTCAATTTTTGTTGAAATCAAACAAAGTTTAATTTTGGACCCCAACTTGGACAAACTTGAAAACTGTTCCCATAATCAAAAATCTAAACACATGTTTAGATTCAGCATATCAAAGTACCCCAAGAATTCAATTTTTGTTAAAATCAAACTAAGTTTAATTTTGGACCCTTTGGACCTTAATGTAGACCAATTTAAAAAACGGGACCCAAAATTAAAAATCTAAAAACATGGTTAGATTTGGCATATCAAAGAACCCCAATAATTCAATTTTTGATGAAATCAAACAAAGTTTAATTTTGGACCCTTTTAACCTCAATATGAACCAATTTGATAGCAAATAAAAAATCTAAATACATGGTAAGATTCAGCATATCAAAGAACCCCATATATTCAATTTTTGTTGAAATCAAACAAAGTTTAATTTTGGACCCCAATTTGAACCAACTTGAAAACTGGGCCAAAAATCAAAAATATAAACACATGTTTAGATTCAGCATATCAAAGAACCCCATATATTCAATTTTTGTTGAAATCAAACAAAGTTTAATTTTGGACCCCAACTTGGACCAACTTGAAAACTGGGCCCATAATCAAAAATCTAAACACATGTTTAGATTCAGCATATCAAAGAACCCCAAGTATTCAATTTTTGTTAAAATCAAACTAAGTTTAATTTTGGACCCTTTGGACCTTAATGTAGACCAATTTAAAAACGGGACCCAAAATTAAAAATCTAAATACACGGTTAGATTTGGCATATCAAAGAACCCCAATAATTCAATTTTTGATGAAATCAAACAAAGTTTAATTTTGGACCCTTTTGACCTCAATATGAACCAATTTGATAGCGGGGTCCACAAATAAAAAATCTAAATACATGGTTAGATTCAGCATATCAAAGAACCCCATATATTCAATTTTTGTTGAAATCAAACAAAGTTTAATTTTGGACCCCAATTTGGACCAACTTGAAAACTGGGCCAAAAATCAAAAATCTAAATACATGTTTAGATTCAGCATATCAAAGAACCCCATATATTCAATTTTTGTTGAAATCAAACAAAGTTTAATTTTGGACCCTTTGGACCTTAATGTAGACCAATTTGAAAACTGGACCCAAAATTAAAAATCTAAATACACGGTTAGATTCGTCATAACAAATAAATAAATGTGGTCAAAGATTTTACAAATCTAATGCGCCATACTGGTCTTCCTTTATAAATATGCATTTCTTTAAACATAATTTAAAAGCAGTGTAAGGGAAGTAACCAAAACGTTGTATTTGGATTACCTCCCTTACACTGTTTTAAATTATCTTAATTGTTCATTAACCATTACTTTATACATAATTTAAAAGCAGTGTAAGGGAGATAATTTCAATGATGTATTTGATTTATCTCCCTTACACAGCTTTAAATTATGTTTTGTACTAAAGTGTTTGTCCATTAATGAGGACAACCTTGTTTTTCCCCCTTTTTTGCCCCTAATTCTTAAACGGTTTGAGCAATAACCCCCCAAAGCAAATCCTAACCATCCCTTTGTGGTATGGAAACTTGTAGTATAATTTCAGAGAGATCCATACACCGTTCCACAGTTATTGTCTGGAAACTAGAAAATGCTTATTTTTTGCCCCTTTTTGGCCCCTAATTCCTTAACTGTTGGTACCATAACCCCCAAAATCAATCCCCACCTTCCTTTTGTGGTATTGAACCTTATGGTAAAATTTCATAGAGATCCATTCACTTCAACTAAAGTTAGAGTGCAAAAACTAATGCGTCTTCGGACGACGACGCCGGACTACGCCGACAACGACGACGCCAACGTCATACCAATATACGACCACAAAAAATTTTTTGCGGTCGTATAATAAGGTGACTGCTGAGCACGTTAGACAGATGACCGCTGAAATGAGTTAAATTATATAGAAAAAAGTTTGGGAGGGTCTGAAAGTGACCGTTAGAGGCTAGTGACTGCTGAAACGAGATGACCCTTAAGGCAGGTTTGACTGTACATGTTAATAAGTCACTTGCAAAAACAACTTTGCTACAGGTATAACTGCTATATTAATACCCCAAAATACTTCTGAATACTTACCAAACTAACAAATATAACAATAACTCGAGAATATAGTCCTAATCGTTTGACAATAACATCGGACAGAAGACCGCCAACAGTAACACTGAGTATACCTCCTACAATAGGTATCCATGACATGTAGTCACCTATCTGTTCTTTTGTTTGGTGTAAGTCTGTAAAGTACTGTTGTGTGTTGTAGGATATTACATAGCCAGCTGAAATACAAAAGATTAATGTTAATATATGACAGTAATTGGGTACTGTAAGTTCAGAAGAAATATAAGAGTAAATTTTCGAAGGAGAAGGAATGATAAGGCACCTTTTTTGGTCCTTTTAGCTCAAATTTGAAAAAAAACAACAAAAACATATAATATATCTATCAAATACTATTCTTCAGATGTACATAAAGCATTAGTCAGTCAGTTATCAGTATTTTTATTTTTAAACTGAGTCTTGCATATTTGCTTAAGAGCTTCAAACTTCTTGCTTTTAATGCAAAACTGTGAAAACTGCTTAAAAACTCCATTTTGAGATCTTATCATTATTGTTTGGATATGAGCCAAAGGCCTAACCCAGAAGACCATTTTGAAAGATGTCTTTTAAGAAGATATCAAAATATTTTTTTTAGTACAGCCTAAATTCATATATATTTTTTTCTAAAATATATTTCTGGCATTTCAGGTCAAAAATTTATTTGTGTGGCCTCAAATGTACACAATAAAGCAGAGATTCAAATTTACATAACAATTTACTTCATCATATTTAATTTTTAAGGTAAAACATTATGCATGCATTATTTTCTGAATATTGGAGAACATTTCCATACAGTGGATTCATTAATATTTGTGGGGTACCAATTTTGTGGATTTTGTGGGTAAACCTATAAAGTTTAAAAAAGTATAAATTTTCTATTGGGTTGTATGCAGACTTAGGTAAATCCACAAAATCAAAGATCCACAATTTTTCCTCAATCCATGAAACTGATATTAAACCACGAAAAATAAATGAATCCACATTATATGAATAAACTGCAAAAATTATGCTTTCTATGTGGTTTGTATCATGAAACACAACAAATTTGCTGAATTTTTTATCTTCTTTTAAGAAGAGTTAATATATAACATACAAAAGTCACATGTCACTGAACATTAAACAGTCATCCATCAACATCATCAAAAGTCACATGTTGAATACTAATGTCAACCCAAGGTCTGATTTCAGATTATTTATTAAACTGAATGTTTAGAACAAACCTGCATTCCTGATTGATGAGGCTAGCAATAACAACATCACAGATGGGTTAAAAAATCTGGTAAAAACTCTCTTAGCTTTGTATCCAACACTCATTGTGTTCTGTTCTTTGTCTGCATCCTTATCTGGTTCGCTTTGTTGTCTAGGTGGATCTTTAACTGTTAGGAACAACAAGACTGCAACAACTATACCTGGAATGGCTGCTAAAAAATAACTCCATCTCCATCCCTAAAACAACAAATATTATATATACATGGCCTAAGATACCATGAATAACCCTAAATACAATGAATATTACGCAATGTATATAAATGTCCTAGTCTACCATAAACATATTAAATCTTTAGATAGTTATGTTTTAGGAAACTATTTTTCACAGTATATTTGTGATTTGTGATTTTTTATTTTGTTTATATGAAACCTGTACATGTATTCTATTATGTTTATTATGTATACAGTTTCTAAGATTTCTTCAAAAGCTGCAAATTCATGAATGAGGAGAAATCATATTTTCATGAATATTTGATTTTGTGGTTTTGCCAAAGACTGCATTCAGACCAATAGAAAATGTGTACATTGTTGAACATTTATATTCGTGGTTTACCTATCAAAATAATATATAACTGACTTGTACACATGAATCAAGTAATTAGTGAATACATGCATATATAACTGACTTGTACACATGAGTCAAGTAATTTAGTGTATACATGAATATATAACTGACTTGTATACACGAAATCTTGTAATAACTGTATACATGATTATATAACTGACTTGTACACATGAATCTAGTAATTAGTGTATACATGAATATATGACTGACTTGTACACATGAATCTAGTAATTAGTGTATACTTGAATCTATAACTGACTTGTACACATGAATCTAGTAATTAGTGTATACATGAATATATAGCAATACTCAAGAATAATATTCATGTATCCACAGTATCTTAATAAACCTAGACAAAACAACCATTTTCTTGTAAGAGTCAGAACATAAATGGGTGAAAAACGAAATCTGAAACAGGACAGAATTAACAGCTATTCTCTACAGAACTTTGGACAAAATTATATATCTGAATAAAATGCTCCGCTGGGCGCAGCTTGATACGACCGCAGAGGTCGAACCCTGAACAGTTGGGGCAAGTATGGACACAACATTCAAGCTTGATACAGCACTGAATTTGGATTGTGATTAAATATTTGACACAGCATAGGTTTCTGACACAGAATGAATGTGGTCTAAGAACTTAAAAAATTTTAATTTACCTATTCAAACCATATCATTATTATTTGCTTTTATATATAAATCAGAAATAACCAATTTAAAATGGAATATTTTAAAGAAAAAAAAAGGAAAAAAAGAGAAAAAAAATCCCTCCCCCAAATTTTTTGAACCCCCTTATGATTCATCACCCCAAAACTCAATCCCAGCCTTCTCTTTGTGGTATGGTACCTTGCAATACAATTTCAGAGAGATCCATACACTTGAACACAAGTTATTGTCTGGAAACTAGAAAAATGCTTGTTTTTAGGCCCCTTTTTGGCCCCAAATTCCTAAACATTTAGGGCAATTACCCCCAAACTCAAACCCAGCTTTCCCTTTGTGATATGGAACCTTGTAGTACAATTTCATAAAGATCCATATACTTACACACAAGATATTGTCCTGAAACTAGAATCGTCATATAAAAATGCTTGTTTTTTGCCCCATTTTGGCCCCTTATTCTTTAAATTTTAAGGCAATTACCCCCAAAATCCATCCCAGCCTTCCCTTTGAGGTATGGTACCTTGCAGTACAATTTCAGAGAGATCCATACACTTGAACACAAGTTATTGTCTGGAAACTAGAAAAATGCTTATTTTTGGCCCCTTTTTGGCCCCTTATTCCTAACTGTTATACGCAACTACCCCCAAACTCAATTCCAGCTTTCCCTTTGTGATATGGAACCTTGTAGTACAATTTCAGAAAGATTCATACACTGACATACAAGTTATTGTAATGAAACTAGAAAAATGCCCCTTTTTTGCCCATAATTCCTAAAATTTTGAGGCAATTAACCCCAAAATCAATCCCAGCATTCCCTTTGTGATATGGAACCTTGTGGTACAATGTCAGAGAGATCCATACACTAACACACAAGTTATGTCAGGAAGTTACAAAAATGCTTATTTTTGGCCCCTAACTCCTTAACTGTTGGTACCATAACCCCCAAAATCAATCCCAACCTTCCTTTTGTGGTATTGAACCTTATGGTAAAATTTCATAGAGATCCATTCACTTAAACTAAAGTTAAAGTGTGAAAACCAATGTGTCTTCGGACGACGACGACGCCAACGTCATACCGATATACGACCGCAAAATTTTTTTGCGGTTGTATAAAATTTGATTAAAATTGAATGTGTAACCTTTGACCTTGAATGATTTAGGTAATAAAGGAACTGAATCACTAAACATAATTTTGAAAGGACACCTAACAAAAATGTTACAGATGAAACAAACTCCAAGCAACAGTGGTGAAACCATGTTATTCAAATAATTATAACCACTTTCATCTATTCAATTGTTACTTACTTGATTGTTTATATTTGCCTTGCTGATAAAATTCCCAAAAGCATATGACATACTGTAGCCAATGTAGATACCCCAATTATATACACCTAATGCTAATCCACGACTCTGCTTAGGGAAGTAATCTGCTATCATGGAAGCTGCAAAGGGTGTACATCCAGCCTCCCTGAAATAAAACAGAATCAAGATTCATACAAAGTTATTCAAACTGACCTTTGATCTAATATGAAGTCAACTAATTACTTGTTTCTTCTGTCATTCAGTTAGATTGAAATATTTGTAAAATCTATCTTTAACTATTATGACAATTCAAAGTAAAATTTGATTGATTGACTGTAATTTGCTCATGATTAATAGGCAAAAATTTTATGTAAACAGACAAGATAAAATTAAACAATAAATCAGCAAGGCTATGAATAAAAAGTTTACCAGGAATGATGGTGTTAAATTTAGATTGTCACTGAAAGGTAAGTTTAGGAAAATGCCTGTACCAAGTCAGGAATATGACGGTTGTTTTTTCATTCGTTCCTTTGGTTGACAACGTTTGAAATTGTGATTTTTATGGACTTCCCCTTTTTTTGAATTTACCTTGAAGTTTGTTAATTTTATTATACTTTTTAAGGCAACCAATATTTTGCCATACAACAGGTCTAGGTCACTTACTGATTTGTTTCATTAATATTTATTTAATATCAGGGAATTTAACCCATCCTTCTCCCAACAAAAAAAAACATTGAATGACATCTACAATTAACTGTCCATATACTGTAAACCAACTAATTTTCGCGATCGATTTATTTTCGTGACTTTTGCAAGAAGGAAAATAACACTAATATATATATCGTAGCAAAAATTTAAAACAAGGATCTTACCTTGTCTAACTACATCAAGTAAATTTGAAAATCGCGAAATTAAATCACCGCGAATTGGGGTAGAAAAGGCTACAAGCGAAATAAAGTATCCACAAAAATAAGTTGGTTTACAGTATGTCAATACCTTATACATGTACCTAGTCAAAATCTCATACTACTATCTACCAATACATTTCAATAGCTGTTCACAAATTAATTACCCTATACCTAGTCAAAATCTCATACTACTATCTACCAATACATTTCAATAGCTGTTCACAAATTACTTACCCTATACCTAGTCCAAATCTCATACTACTATCTACCAATACATTTCAATAGCTGTTCACAAATTACTTACCCTATACCTAGTCCAAATCTCAGGATGACTATCTGCCAATAACTGTTCACAAATCCTGTCAATAATGTCATGGTTGACCAGATAACCAAACAAGAGGCTAACATAACCTTACGATTATATTTGTCAGCAGCAAAACTGATGAAGATTCCAGAAAATGTGTAAATGACTATAAAAACGGGACCAGCTACCAACTGGTACTCTAATCCCTGACCATTATAGTCCCATTTACATACATAGCTGCCATTGTCATTTACTAAACTAGAACATCTAAAATATAACATTATCAAATTTTTATTGATGTCTGTGTTTTGTGTGTACTATTTCAGACTATCAATTGTGGCAACTCTAACAAATCAAAAGACTTAAAACAATCATATCTTTAGAATGATTGACATTAACTGTAGCTTCAAAACTTTTTTTAACTTCATCATTACATAAACTTTTTTGCATAAATTAATTCATGTTTATAAAAGAATAATACAGTTACTTTTTCTGTTTTATAGGTACATTCTTTATTTATGCTAAATGATAAAACTTTTGAAAAAAAAGTATTATTCTTTCAATTATTCTTTCAAGATTCCATGTTATTGACGAGAGTACATGTATTATTTATTTTAATTATTATATTTTACACTAGACTTACATATTTTCAGTACTAGCTTCACATTTAATCTTGGTGTTGTTTAAGCCTTTCAGATCATTGTCTGTGAAATAAGTACTGTTGATCATACAAGCCTGGTCCCCAAAGTGAACCTCCTGGGCCATTGACTTTGCAGTGATGCCAAACAGGAACCGGTCTAACTGATTCAACAGATATGTCAACAGGAACAAAAACAAAGCCCAAACATTTGTCTTATTAAATGTTTGAAAAAAGCCCAACTCTGCAAAGACAATAGACAGTTGTCGTTGGTTCATGTCTGTCATATTTGTTTTTCGTAAATTGTTTTGTTATAAATTAGACTGTTAGTTTTTTCAATTGATTTGTTTCATATTTTTCAAGTCGAGGCCTTTTATAGCCCATTATAGGGTATGGGGCTTTTCTCATTGTTGAAGGCTGTACTGTTGCCTATAAATTGCTTACATCCACTTCATTTGAACTTTGGTGGATAGTTGTCTCATTGGCAGTCTTACCACATCTAATTTTTATATAAAACATTGAAAAAAATGCATTCTTTAAATAATGTAAATTTAAGGTTACGTTGAACATCTACTCTTATCCTCTGCATGTATACCTTGTAAATGTATTAAACATTTTCAATAAAAATCTGTCTTATCTTTGTAACCCAATTAACATGTTAAATGCTGTGAAAAATGCAAAAAAAGTAACCATTGGTTCTGTCCAAGGACTGTCAAATAATAAAGTGATTCAATTTGGGTCCTGATGTGGTGGTTGATGGGTCAAATTATGATAAAAATCAATATCTGACCTATCGACTGTTATTGAAATATACTAAAAAATATGTCTGACTAAAATATCAGAATTGGTGTTTTTAATATTAAATAAATCTAAAGTATTTTCTATGGAAAAGCACATTATACATAAAGGTGGTCTATCTAAAATAAATGGGTCCTTAAGTGTTTGGAATAGTAAATAAATGAAACATACCAACAGTTTCCTGTTTCTCCATTTTTCTTTGATCTGTTTTTTCTGGAGAATCTGTAATGAATTGTAGCACGTGAAAATGTGAGAGACATATAAAAAACTTATACTTTTTATATAATGTACAAACTCAATAACGTACTACATATGTTCTTGATGCCTATGTTGAATTACCTTACTCCAAAGCAAAATAAACCCCCAAAAAACGTATGATTTTATTGTTTTGTCAAGCAATTTATTTACATCACTTTTGCAAGTAGGAAAATAAGGCTAATGTAAATTGAATATGTCTTACTTGGATGATCTTGTCCTATATGAATAAGGCTAATGTAAATTGAATATGTCTTACTTGGAAGAGCTTGTCCTATATGAATTCATCAACGAAGTTAGAATATATATATGACAAAAATAAATAGCTACCAATTTGCCAATAGCATAAAAACACACAAAAAAGTATTGAGGAAAATAAGTTGGTTTACAGAATTATATGACAGCAAAATCATAAAAATAAAGTATTAACTATAAAATGGCTGCATGCATTACAGGTTATTTTCAGTCTTCCAGTCCATCAACAATTCAAATCAGACAATTTTAAATTCTCAAAAAAATTATCTGAAAAAACACTGCAGAACTAAGCTTGGACTTTTGATGTTATTTTAGTCCACAGTTAACAGTTATGACAGTGATAGTACTTTAAATCTGTCTTGTACCTCTACTACTAAATATAGGTTAGTAAGAGTTAAGAAAATAGTGACTTATCTCCCCTTCTGTGTGGTTAAACCTAACACTGCAATTTATATTTCAAATTTAACCATATCTTGGCTTTTTCATTCATACCTTAAAATTTAGACTGTCAGAAAATACAAAATCTATTGTAACCATATGAAATCACAAACACTGATGAAAACAGGCTGACAGATGCACGAACAACATACAAAGGAACATACCAACAAATAAATGTACATACAAATATTCAACACTGAAATATGAAACTTGAAATAATATAAAATCCCCAAAAAACTTGGAATGATATCTGATTCTATATAAGGGCTAACCTATAGTGAATCACAGTGACAAGTCAAATAGATAATTGAAAATGTCTTTAAAATGATTTACACCTTACTATCAAATTACCAAAAGCTAGAGATGTTTCAAAACTGAATGCATCAGATTTTACATGACACTTCTTCTCCTAACCCACAATGCATATATCTAATATCATTTTGAAAATAATTTTAAACTTCACTACAAATCTACAGGATTATAGCTACTAACTTCACTACAAATCTACAGGATTATAGCTACTAACTTCACTACAAATCTACAGGATTATAGCTACTAACTTCACTACAAATCTACAGGATTATAGCTACTAACTTCACTACAAATCTACAGGATTATAGCTACTAACTTCACTACAAATCTACAGGATTATAGCTACTAACTTCACTACAAATCTACAGGATTATAGCTACTAACTTCACTATAAATCTACAGGATTATAGCTACTAACTTCACTATAAATCTACAGGATTATAGCTACTAACTTCACTACAAATCTACAGGATCATAGCTACTAACTTCACTACAAATCTACAGGATCATAGCTACTAACTTCACAATAAGAACAAAAAATTGCACAAAAACATTGTCTTATTCCTTTAATATAACATATCTATTAAAATTTCTGATCATTAATTCTCAGTTTTGCAACTGCTAAAGTCACTTGCCTCTTATATATATATATATAATCTTATAATAATGGCAATACATATAACACAATAAAAGTTTCAAAATCAATTGCCATGACTGAGGGCCGGGGATGGACCAAATAATCATGGTGGAAAATTATCTGAAGCTGTTGGGTGAACCCGGATCCTAAACCTCCAATCTTAGCCTTTTCTAAAGAATGTGTTAAACCAGCACACAAAACCCCTGGTACAGACTATTTCAAATGAAAGTTGTGGGTTGAACCCAGACCCCAAAACCTCAGATCCAGGCCCTTTCTAATGAAAGTTGTGGGTTACTTTAGGCAAACACACCAATCCTCTGTTACAGACCCTTTCTAATGAAAGTTGTGGGTTGAACCAGGACACTAAAGGTATAGAACAGGTCCTTTCTACTGAATGTTGTGGTTTGAACTAGGACACTAAATTTCTGGTACAAGCCCTTTTTAATGAACGTTTTGGGCCCAAACCTCTGATCCAGGCCCTTTCTAATGAAAGTTGTGGGTTACTTCGGGCAAACACATCAATCCTCTGTCACAGGCCCTTTCTAATGAAAGTTGGGGGTTATTTCAGGCAAACACACCAATCCTCTGTTACAGGCCATTTCTAATGAAAGTTGTGGGTTGAACCAGGACACTAAACCTATGGAATAGGTCCTTTCTACTGAATGTTGTGGTTTGAACTAGGACACTAAATTTCTGGTACAAGCCCTTTTTAATGAATGTTTTGGGCCCCAAACCTCTGATTCAGGCCCTTTCTAATGAAAGTTGTGGGTTACTTCGGGCAAACACATCAATCCTCTGTCACAGGCCATTTCTTATGAAGTTATGGGTTGAACCAGGACACTAAACCTATGGAACAGGTCCTTTCTACTGAATATGTTGTGGTTTAAACTAGGACACTTAATTTCTGGTACAAGCCCTTTTTAATTAACGTTTTGGGCTGAATGAATTTTTTGGATTAAATCAGGAAGAACCTCGGATCCAGGCCTTACAATGAATGTTTTTGGTTGAACAAGGCACTAAACTTCTGGCGCAGATCATTTCTACTGAATGTTGTGAGTTGAATCAGGAAGAGGAACCTTGGATCGAGGCCTTTTCTAATGAATGTTGTGGATTGAACTAGGACATCAAATCTCCACTTTTTATAATGACAGTTATAATGTCATTTATATATAAATATTTATTACTGCAAATTCAGAAATTATTGCGATGTTTTTATTATTTCGAAAAATGCGACAGGGTTATAATCACAATATTTTGGACTCGCATTTTGATTATTTTTATATGAATGAAGCAGAAATTTTCTCAATATCGCAAAAATTAAAATCGCATTTTAGTCCAAAATGACAAAATCGCAATAATAAATGCACGCAATAATTTCTGAATTTACAGTATATCAGTCAGTATACAACTAAAATAAAATTCAGCAATAAGAAATAAACACGCAAATCAGAAAACCAAGCAACAAACTGTTAGTAAACACAAGCATAAAATAGAAATGAAATAAGAGGTTGAATTAGTAAAATTCACAACACCTGGTGTTAACCAACCTTCATTCCTGATAGATTCATATCCCCTGTGTCTTACAGCTTCTTTAATAGATGCCATTCTGTGTCAGAAAATATACAGTCAACTTACAACTCATTTATTTTTTCTTTTCTCCGAATTAAAACAGACTGTGCATGAGTGAATATTATTCTTCTAAAATTTAAAGGGCCTGAATTCTTTAAATTCAAATTTTCTATACAAATTGTCACAAGACAGTCAAGTTGTTTTTAAAGCAAAATAATTTGTTCGTTGAACCTTTTCTTAGAATATATCATACATAATATATTAAAACCCGAACTTTATTATTTCGTAATTAATTGGTCTACTGTAACATTAAATATTTGTATTTTAAAATGCAATAGACATGCTTTTCTTACAAGATACATTATACAGCTGATTTATAAAGAATTTTAAAAATTTTGAATTTCATCTTTCTACCTTTTATTTGGTCACCTCTTTCATTTTGCACTGATCAAAATTATAAATATGTCAAAGTAATATGGCATTATTAAAGAGTCCCAACCATTGAAAATCTGTTAGCAAGCATATTATCAAAAATTAATCAAAAAGCACAATTAGTCCAGTTTAATAAAGCATTGACTGATGAAGAATTAGAGAAAAATACATTACGTCATCAACAATTATCTAAGGCTTCACTCCAAGAAATCCTTACCACACAATTTTCCGAGATGAACATGCATTACCTTAAATTATTGAGATGAAATTCTTCAGAATATCAGGATTATCTAACTGTTGTTTTCTAAATGTTCCAGTATGATCTCTGAAACATACATCACTGTACATGTACATTATAATACATACTTTAATATTATTTTCATCAAATTACTCAAATACAATTATATATCACCTTACATAATAATCTGCAGCCCAAAAAGAATGGTTACTGCTTCTCAAAAATGTATTCACATGATTCATGACATTTTGATACATGTACATGTATAGTCAATCTTAGTTATGGAGACATATATATTAGATTTGCTCTGGTCAAAGTTGGCAAAGTTATCCACATTTGGCTTTAGTTCCACAATTTTAGACTTCAGTGAACCTGTTAGTCTAAAACCTATAGCTAGCAATTAAAATATCAGTGTAACACCTCATGCAAGGACTCCTAGATTTACAGACATTTGGAAGTTAGGGGGTCTGTTGTTGTGGTTTCATTAAAAATAAAAGACATGTTCTGTGAAATTTGTATAAAGTTCACAAGCTATTAAATCATTCACTAGTAGGCATAATGTTAGAAAGAAAGAGTGTAACATAACATGAATCAAGAATGGGTAAGTTGGAGTTATTTTTTTCCTCATTATGTGTTCTTTGTTGAATTCATGTCTCTAGATAAAAATTGTTTTTATTCAAGGCAAGGAATATCTATTCTGATTGCTTGATTGTTTTTGAAGCCACTTACAGCACCATTGGCTACATTGTGGTGGTCAGTTTTTATTGGTGGAGAAAGCCAGAGAACCACCAACATTCAGCAGGAAAATCCTAGTCAATAAAGATTGGAGTTAAATGCTGTCACATGCAAGGTTCTAACTCACAACCTCGTGTTGACAAGCAAGTGATACAGTAGATGAACTACTTAAACTACTTGGCGATCATGGCCATTGAGGCCCCAAATATCTATTCTAAATAATGATGCAGAAAATTTTGATACTTTGAAACTTAATATGGTAAGAGAGTAGTTTTCAAAGGTAAAAATTAAAGAAATCACACTTTGTGCTGTAATGATTAAAAAAAAAAATTTAAGAAGTGACTGGTGTACATGGTGTCAAAGATATTTAAAAAAAATGGCAGTTAAAACATTGATATATATTTCAGTGTTCACATTTACAAACAGAATTGCACAAAATCATATTGAACAGTTCAGACAGAACTTGCTGTTTTATGATTTTGCTGTAGTGTCTTACATGTAATTTCAACAACTATGAGCTTTAATTAATCCATTTTTACATATTTCATGTGTGTATCTTCTCCTCTTTTCCTGAATTTTATTTTAACCATCCTGATATTGTTCCATTTTTTAAATACTTTTTAGGCTTACACCCTAATTTTTCATACATACCGATTTAAGTGTTGTTTACTTTCTAGACATATTTTTATCATATTCATTGTGTGTTTTTAATTGGATCATTTGTTCCACAGATTGAATAGTTATCATGGCTACAGTGTTGTTATTTGATTGATGTACAAACATGTATCCCCAACATATCCTTTTCATTGATCTAAGGGTCAGCATAAGGTTATTTATGAAAGTGAAGTGTCAATACCATATGCCAAGCTCTAAATCCCCTTGTGTATAGACAATTTGTGAATGATTCAAAGAGAAATTAATAAAGATGTGCAATAATTACAATCTGATGCCCTCATGGGTGTATCTAATTCTTATAAAAAAAAACGTGTGCATAATACAGTACCTTTAAATATATGGATATACTACATCTATCATGCTTTTTAATAAATAACAAGCATTCTTTGAGTATTGCATGGCAATACATAGTCCCCTACCGGTTAAAAATTGATTAAATTGTAATGGAATGAAATTCTAACTTGATCATCTACAACTTGTCAAGGTGTAAACTACATAAAATAACAAACAAACCTACCACTAAATTCTTCAAACAATTTACTAAAAAAAAAGGGAAAAAAATCCAAAATGTCATTTATCTTAATATTATGTCTTTTACAATTCTTTTAAAAAATGAGTCATTTCCTTTTGAACAGAAATCTTGTAATTAATAAGTATTTCATAATAAAATTAATTCTAGGGAAAGTTAAAAAAACGAGTTATTTCCCTTTGAACAGAAATCAAGTAATAAATAAGTATTTCATCAAAAATTTAATTCTAGGGAAAGGGCTTAAACTGAACAAGGAGAAAAGCTTAAATCGTGAAAATCGAACTTGACCTGTAACTTGTCATGATAAAACAATACACCAAATATCAAATCAATATCTTGAAGCATGAAGAAAAAGTCTGGATAACTGATTTGACCGACTGAGGGATGGACAGACGGACGGACAGACAGACGGATAGAGTGCAAACTTAAGTCCCCTTTGACTTCGTCGGTATGGGACTAAAAATACAACCAAAATGCTGAAAGCAACTTGGGAAAGACCCATTCCTTAATCAGTGAAAGCTATCATTTTCCATTAACCATAATATCATGATGTACAAAATGTCGACTAAATCATGTAAATATACCCCATGGGGCTAACACCCACAGCCATGTCAGTGGTATATATGTAATACAATGCACATGTACATACAATTTTCAATTGTCTTCTTTGATGTTTAGCTCATCATGCTAAAATTGACATTCTAAATGATATCTGTACATATTCAAAAGTACATACATGTACGTTTGCAGCACAGGCACTTGTCTCAGAAAATAATTTCCTATATACCTTAATATAACATACAACATGTTAGGATTTTTTTTAATCTTTATCAATATATATGTTCCTGTATCAATATATATGTTCCTGATGGACGTCAACTCCACCTTTCGATAAGTTTCAATAATTTTTTTTTATTATTTCAAAGAGAAGGACACATCTCTCTCAGTCTTTCGACTTCTAAGTCCATCCATCCAATCTGTTGCTGCTGACCAAAATATAAGATGCTGCTAAACTCTTCGTGCAAATTTAATAGCTTTAGTTAAGTTTTTGTTTACACGTCTACAATTAAAAGTGCGAACTTTGTATAAGTACAATATATTATAAATTTGACACTTACCAACTCATCGGATATACGTTCGTACTAGCTTGTGATTAAGAACACCGAGTTGAGGGTTCATGGCAAACAATTTAGTAAATGTCGCACTGTACTGAATAGGACATCGATAGATAGTCCACCGTTCCTTAACAACGTTTGCCACTTTGTTGTGACAGGATAAAAATTAGAACTTGGTTAACGTTATCTCTGGTTTATATGTATAATGACATGGTTAAATACTTTTAACTCTGTGGTACCTTTACCTTTCTTAAAACTAAAAATTAAGTGAGTTATGAAAATCTCAAAAAAACTAAGATACATCAACACCGCTAAATACTTTTTTCAGATTGAGAAAACAAATTCGCTTCTATTACTAAGGAACCCTAATCTGTAAAGAAGCTGTTCCACAAAAGATGGCAAAACACCCCTTTAAAAACACAAATTAAAATCGATGGCTTAAACACGAGTTGATAACTTTATTTGCTTAATCTGCTTACATTAACAAGGTGCCAACATAAATATTGTTTTCATGTTGTTTTTTTTTTTATCAAATATTCAGTCTAATTAAAATATAGAACTCAAATCAGAGTTCTATATTTTAATTAGACTGTCAAATATTTCTAATACCTCCGATTTTAATATTGAAAACAAGGCTCCTAGTTTTTGAAATTTAAAATTTAATGTTAAGACAGCTTAGGATACTTGTGGTCAAGTGTTACTGGAAACCTTAATATTATCCGTAAACCCTTTTTGTTAATTTCATTTGAAAGTGTCCTTGATATCATTCACTCTCTGAAATTAACTGGAAAGAATGGTAAGTCATTGACAACGCATTCCTACTGCAATATTGCCACAAAAGAGAAATTCGAAACAAATTTATAAAGTCTCTCTTTAGAAAAAGATACAGAGGGAATCTGACTGTGATTCATTGGAACCAACTGGAAGAAGACATAGTGTGCGCCAAGTCAGTTGAGAGCTTCAAAACAGTTCTCCGACGCCGTCAATATGTGCTCTCTCTCCCGTCGAGTTAAAGCCAGAATTGGTACCTTCGACGTGACGATACAGATACAGATTCAGAATTGCTTCAATCAATTTGAAGTTAACTTTATATAAATCATTCCAGTAAACAAATATATCTCCTTCATAACAAGCCAAATACTCTCGAATGTGATCTAAGTTTATACCTACTGACAATAAAGAACCATCATAGCTGTAGCCTGGGGTTCTATTTTAAAATAAAGAGATGTGGTATGATTGCCAATGAGACAATTACCCAGAATGGTTCAAATGAAGTGGATATAAACAATTATATGCAACCGTACGGCCTTCAACAATGAGAAAAGCCCAAACCGTATGGTCGGCTATAAAAGGCTCCGACATGAAAAATATGAAACGATTCAACTGAGAAAACTAACGGCCTAATTTATAACAAAACAATTTACGAAAAACAAATATGACAGACATGAACCAACGACAACCACTGAACTACATGCTCCTGACTTGGGACAGGCACATAAAGAATGTGGCGGGTATAAACATGTTTGCGAGCGCTTAATCCTTCCCCTAACCTGGGACAGTGGCGTAACAGTACAACATAAGAACAAACTTTAAAAATCAGTTGAAAAAGGTTTAACTCATCAGATGGATACAAATAAAAATACATCTAACAAAAACACATACTGGACGTGGACGGGTACTTATACACCCCACAACAAAAAGACACTAAGTACATATCTGAGAGTACTCGCAGTTACTGACAGCTAGTTCAAAGCCAATAACAACAAATAAAAAAAATCATGTATCTAAGACTAAAATATCAATCAGTACACTAGTTCACTGCTCGACAATAGACGCTAACATCAACATCCATGGATGGATGGCTTATTAACGTCCAGTGGCAAATTAAACGCATACTAGTATTCAGTTCGAGAACATGTTAGTGCGATATGTCTGAATGATAATCATGCTTTGTACTAGACCGACACCCTAATCGAGCCGGATTTAAATGTGCTAGTTCATCAGGTAACAGGCCGCAAGAAGACATGTAACCGTACTCGGTCTTTGCTCTTACTCCTTAATGCACAGTGCTTAGTGGAGAAGCAGCCAATACCAATTTTACAGTTTTTGGTTTGACCCGACCTGGGTTCGAACCCACGACCTCCCGCACTTGAGGCAATCACGCTACCATGAGACAACCGAAGCGATTCTAACATTAACAACCTGTTTAGAAATTCGTATATCATAGTAAAAACTTACGATAAAATGAATAATGAATTCTGCCAATCTACCCTCGCTGAAATTTTATCGCATGTTTTTAGTATGTATATATACGAGTTTCCTAGTAGGTGTAAAAACCGAGTCAGGTTTCAGTTTTCTCAGCTAGTCAAAGCTAGTTGTTCTGTATAGTCCCTTATGATTTTGATGCTCCAGCTTTTTGTTTATGTTTTTAGTGCTCCAAACTTTTCGTCTTGAATATCTGACTTTAAAGCTGATATTTGCGGTTTCTTTGCCACACACACGGCATATATCAGTAAGATCAAAGAGTGGTTCGCTCGGAGTCAGACTTATGAAAGTTTCTGAGTAAGGTGATATGTCTTCCTGCTTTACTTTTATATTATGTTTATAAATTATATTGTAATTATTCATTTTGGGAGCCGTGATTGGCAAATAAAATATTTGTTTATTTGTTTGCTTACTGTTACTTTGAAGTCTTATTCGGCGTATCGGTCTAGTCCAAAGTATACTCAAATAGCATATCTTTGCCAATAAATTGGCGATTCGCAGCAATCCACCAATAAATCAACCAATCGCTAGCACAACTAATTACAAACGTATACTGTCTTTTACAGCAGAATGCATTGAGTGTGTAGGTAAAAGTAATATCTTTGGTTAGCTTGCTTGTTAGCTGAACCGTGAAGTCATTGTTAGGTTAGGTAAACTACCCTCCTTTAAGAGTAGACTAGTCCGAATGATAACCAATCTATCTGTCTGTAGGACTATACTACTCCAAAAGGAGGGTAGTATACCTAACCTAATAATGACTTCACGGTTCAGCTAACAAGCAAGCTAACCAAAGATTCTACCTTTACCTACACACTCAATGCATTCTGCTGTAACTGTTGTGACTGACCTCATGGACCTGGATCTCCCAACAACAGTGTTTAGCATTGAATAAAATTTAGATGAAAATGTATATACAGGTACGAAAATCATAATTATACAAAAATCTTTCACGTATTACTAGTAAGTATCTTTCATATCCAAATTGGAAACAAGGACAAATGATAGACAAGTTTGTCGAAAAATAAAATATCAGTCACAAAATATAACAACGAAAACCGAAGCGATCTAAAACCCGGTTAAAAGTTATGAGTGAACTTAGGTTCTCCGGAAGGGCGAACAATTCTTGCTACACTAGTGGCACTCAGCATATTGGTCACGACTCCATCACGAGTAAAAATCCGCATGCATTGACAGCTCATAAAAGAGGAAAGGAGAACAGAAATGTGATCAAGAAAAATATACTGGGCCCATTGCCATCTGTGACAAGATAACCCGTAGGTCAATAAGACAATCAAAACAGATGACTCCAACTTTACTATCATTTATTTACTGGCTTTCTTGTAAGGACAAATCTCTATCCAACTAAAGCCTGATGGAAAACGCATGCTGTGGAATAACTTATCAAGTTGGAGACACATACTCATTTATGCAAGATATACTCAGTGTTGCTGCATTAAAATGAAAGATTGAAGTCGCCTCTTTTTGTCCTGAAGTTCTGATTTTACCCTCATTATCAGTTTCTAAATTATACAGGTCAATATATGCAGTAGATCTAGTTGTTGCTGTGGTATCCTTTATTTCATATGCAATCAATATATGCAGTAGATCTAGTTGTAGCTGTTTTATCATTTATTTCGTATTCAATGTGATCGATGAGATCAACATAGCCACAAAACTTTCAAATTAATTTAGTTGAAATGAAATGCTCCGCTGGGCGCAGCTTGATACGACCGCAGAAGACGAACCCTGAACAGTTGGGGCAAGTATGGACACAACATTCAAGCTTGATACACACTGAATTTGGATTGTGATTAAGTATTTGACACAGCATAGGTTTCTGACACAGAATGAATGTGGTCTAAGAACTTAAAATTTTTTAATTTACCTATTCAAACCATATCATTATTTTTTGCTTTTATATATAAATCAGAAATATCCAATGTAAAATGGAAAATTTTAATGAAAAAAAAAGGGAAAAAAAAATCCCTCCCCCCAAATATTTTGAACCCCCTTATGATTCATCACCCCCAAACTCAATCCCAGCCTTCCCTTTGTGGTATGGTACCTTGCAGTACAATTTCAGAGAGATCCATACACTTGAACACAAGTTATTGTCAGGAAACTAGAAATATGCTTGTTTTTTTGCCCCTTTTTGACCCCTAATTTCTAATATTTTGAGGCAATTACCCCCAAAATCAATCCCAGCCTTCCCTTTGTGCTATGTTACCTTGCAGTACAATTTCAGAGAGATCCATACACTTGAACACAAGTTATTGTCAGGAAACTAGAAAAATGCTTATTTTTGGCCCCTTTTTGGCCCCTTATTCCTAAACCTTTTGGGCAATTACCCCCAAACTCAATTCCAGCTTTCCCTTCGTGATATGGAACCATGTAGTACAATTTCAGAAAGATCCATACACTTACACACAAGTTATTGTCATGAAACTAGAAAAATGCTTGTTTTTGGCCCCTTTTTTGGCCCCTAATTCCGAAAATTTTGAGGCAATTACCCCCAAAATCAATCCCAGCATTCCCTTTGTGATAGGGAACATTGTGGTACAATGTCAGAGAGATCCATACACTAACACACAAGTTATGTCTGGAAGTTACAAAAATGCTTATTTTTGGCCCCTTTTTGGCCCCCAATTCCTTAACTGTTGGTAACATAACCCCCAAAATCAATCCCAATCTTCCTTTTGTGGTATTGAACCTTATGGTAAAATTTCATAGAGTTCCATTCACTAAAACTAAAGTTAGAGTGCGAAAACCAATGTGTCTTCGGACAACGACGCCAACGTCATACCAATATACGACCGCAAATTTTTTTTGCAGTCGTATGAAAACACATCATCTACATTTTAATGAGTAATGTCAGCTTCTTTTCATCATTCTCAGAATTACTTATAGACAGTCTGACACAAATGAATAAAGGAACAATCCAGGGATAATTGTAGTTGGTTCTCATAGGATTCTTATCCTCAAATGGATCACCAAGACCAGTCATATAAGTGTTTTCTGCATTTTATCACTGGCAATAACGGTGATAAGGCAATGTTCAAGGTTGTACTGGAAACAGTGTGCATCACAATTTGTTACACATCAATAACATACATATTGTGTTGCTAATGCTTCCCAAAGGCCAGTGTACTGCTCTAGTAGATATTACCAAATAGCATTCAATGCTTTTATAAATTTTGACTTGGATGGAGAGTTGTCTCATTGGCACTCATACCACATCTTCTTATATCTATTTACTCATACAAAATATGCCACAGTTTACCATAGCAATTACACAGGATATTTTTTAATGTGTCTTGTACAATATATACTGATATTGACCTCACTCCTTGTTCCCATTAACACATGATTAGTTATTAATGACTATGCTGTTATATTGAATCCCAGAATCATGTTGCTTGGTAAACATGATTCCTCACATTCTAACCATTTTGGTGATCCTGGTTTACTTTAGTTAGGGAGGCATTACTTACAAGTTAAGGGTATAGGAACCATAGATGGAGAGTGAATGGTGAAAAGGAAGCACAGTGGTAGTGAATATGGGAGATACAAAAGTGCGAGAAAGAGTGAAGGAATGTCACTCAGAGTGGTGAAAACGAGGGAGTGAAATTTGAATCTTGGCACTTCTTGTTATAAAGGTTGTGTTCAGAAAATAAGGTTTTCTTATACTTCAGGATGCCTAAGTATGAAAAAGAGGTATTGTCAGCAAATTCACCACATTCCCTTTTCCCAGTCATATACTGAACATGATTCATTGTCAGATGGTCTTACCCAAAATTTTCATGAGATATAATACTACCATTGTATTAAGTTTCATTTAAATCCTTATCCTATGTAAGAGTACTTTTCTTTATAAGGTACCTCAACCCAATCACTACATTTTAAGGACATTAAAATTGTGTAGACCAGAAACATTTTCCATCATTCACATCTTCATATTATATATAACTATTGTGCAAAGTTTTATCATAACTACTCATGCAATAATAATGAAGTTGCACAATTTCTGGTAGAATGGGACAAGACGATTCCTAGATACTTTAATTTGCCATTGGGTAATCCCCCAAAAAATAGTATTTTGCCAAGTGGTAATAATAAAAATAAACTGAAGTGAATAAGCACGATTTATTTGAAATATATACAATATAAAGATAGATTATCTTAACAAAAAATGAGTTTGTTATGTATAAATTATAAGAAAAATTGAAAATTAATTAAAAGACAATCACAGAATACAAACAAAAAATGTATTTTTTGGTACTTCTTGAGAAAAATATATATTTAATGGAATCAAAGCTGTTAACAATGTAAATACAGTAAAAATTTGGAAAACTATAAGCATTTCCATATAATATTTCTCCCTATTTAACTCTCATTCAATAAAGGAAAATTTTTGAAACAAAATAGAAAATATAACTATACTTCTAGCAGTTAAACCTTAAAACAGATTAACATAGTACATAGTTATAAACCTTTTAATAATAAACTTTTTCACATTATTTGCATTCCAGCATTTCTAGGCAGCAATAAATATACCATCCTGGTAAAAGATGTTCAACAATAAAGACTTGTAATTATGATTTAACAAATTTAGCAAAGATGTGCATAATTCCGTCATCAAAATTGCAGGAATGCAGATGATTTTAAAAAGAGTTTAAAACAAGTTACATTGTATATATTAACCTTGTACAACAAATCTTATATCGGGTAAAAATGACTGAAAATGAACATAATTTTACAATTTATTTACCTTGAATAATATCAAGATCAAGGCATCATGGAATGAATATAAGCTGACTTTAAACGCAAGTGTAAGCTGTAAAAATACTCACAATATATCATTGTCTACTGAACTGGCCAAAACAACTTCAATTAAAAACATTATAATGTCAACCCATATATAAAAATAGATAAGTTTTACTACATATATATTTGGAATGCAATGCAAATAATTTCATCATCATGGTTCTTTAAAATATGCTTGAAAGAGAAGAAATGCTGAAATCTTTCTTTTTATTCAGTCTTTTACCAATGGCCAAACAGCAGTGTGAAAGGCATGACTACATTGTTGAATTTAACTAATAACCTACAAAAATGTATATCTATTTTCATATTAATTTACCGATAGGTTTTTCATTCATATCGGCAACAAACCTAGCTGTCGCATTGAGAACATTTTTTTAAAGTGAGTTCTATCTTTTCACCACAACAATGATCTCTCAACTGCACCTTTTGGAATGAGAGATAAACCTGTCCGAATTGAAAAACCATCTACATTTGAACAATGAAAGAAATAGAATATGATCAAATTATATATACTCCATAATACAAGTCTACTATTCTCCAGAAAATAGAATAAATTACTGTAAGTTAACAATTCCTAACATAAATCAGTCTTCTTTTGAGACAGTTGGTTATCTAAGAGGATTTCTATATTCTTTTTAATACTTAAAAATCAATACCTACAAATGCATTGTTTCTCTCCATGAATCACATCTTGATTTTTCATATTTTACAATATTGTCATTTGAGAATCTTAATATAGTAAATTCTAAGAAATGTTTCTCAATTGTACATCAAATTCTGATTTAATAATATATTAAAGTTATTCTGGTCAATAATGTGTCATAGTAAACAATAATGAACATAATTTATTTAACAAAATTTTTGCACTAAATTAATAGTAACTACTACAGGTATTCAGTGTCAGTCTTGCAGGCAATTTGATAACCTTATCAAGATTTGGCAAAATATTAAACAATAAAACTTGTACTGAGTGTAGACAAAGGTTAATGACTAATGAGTACCAGTGTTCTAATGAAGTATTTTAATAAATTTAAATAAATTTATCATTTTGGGGAATGGAAAATGAAAATCACAATTATGTAAAGTTAAGTTACAAAATGTTTACACTTGGTATGTCAAAGGCATAAAACAATATGGTGCTACTGAATTAATCACTTATATACACTGTAATTAACTGATAAAGAATGTACTACACACATATTTTCAATGTCCTGCAATTACAATGATAGAAATGTTATAAACTGTTACACATGTATTACAACAATACACATTGTAATACACTTATAAACAATGTAATAAATTGAGGCACAATGTAATACACTAATACACAGTGTAGCACACTGATACACAATTGAATGTTATATTACACTAGATTTCCATTATTGCATACTAGTAATTAAGTATTGATTGCATATATACCCTGTGTTAAATCAAATTAAATTTTCAATCATTAGTGTTTTATACTACAAATTTATTCAAATAACATGATGGAAAAAAGTAAAAAATCTTGTGACAATTTTAACATTTATGCAGGAAGACTAGACTAATACAAATTAGTACAACTTTAGTACTGATTTCACAGCTATACAACATAATTTTAAATATTGTTTTAAAAATAATGTTTTAATTTTTAAATTTGGAACTTTGACTCAAAATGTTCACACAAATTGTGATTCATTAGAAACCTAAATAATGATGATCCTATTAAAGTTTAATTCCTGCTGGATTGCAATCTTTATTTTGGTTAAATATTGCTGAATCAGAAAATTTTAACCATTAAATCCTAAATCTAATTCCTGAGAGATTATATGGCCCCCTTAACATATGATTTCTAATTTACTAACAACTTCATCCAGGCATGATCATCCGATCAGAAACCCTATTCCAGCATTATATAATACATCTGGAATACCTTACATCAAAACATTACAGATCTTTATTAATTCTCTTAGATCAGACATCTAGTTCATATGGAATTATTCTGCTTGATAGTTCAGAAAACATTTGACAAATGGATAAGACACAATAGGCATATATCTTCAAGGAGTGTATGGCTCTTTTTACACAAATTCTTATGACTAAAATTGCTAGTAAATTATACTAAACCGCAAATGACTTATAATTATTTTTTTCACATAACCTGAACCCAATAGCTTCCGGTAATAATAGCTAAGGCTATCTGAAACTTATTGGAATCTGTGTCTGAAGTTAGTCTGACATTACTGTTGTACTTAATCCTGTTCCATGTAGAAGTCAATTACGATACAGAGGTCTTATTTAGAGCAAGTGGGTCTTGTACATATTCATTTTATGGCTTTTTTATGTTTAGAGCTCAAAATCAATGCATATGCTACCAGTTATGCACTCAACAAGTACAATTTAAATGAGACCAAAAGTAAAATCATAATACTATGATAAATGTATAAGTCTCCCTGCATACCTTCAAAATCAAACAAGCAATTCTGAAATTGAATGATATTATACATATGAATGAAAAAAAATTATGCTAATTAAAATATGAATGTTTTAAACTTTTACAAGTTGAATGAAAAAAACTTGTACAGTATTTTTCATCAACCAACTAAATGTGTTCATTCTAAATTTTTCTCACTCTATGTCTCAAATCTAAATTGATAATTTCCTGATATTACATTAATAGTTTGAAATTAAAGTCCAGCATGCAAGCTTTTAACCATATTTATGTGAAAAAAAGAATATAATATTGGGATATGAATTTGAAACTGCTTTGCACCTGACCTACATGCAAAGCCAAAATATAAGCATGATAATATCTTCTATTCATATCAAAGTAAATCAGCAAAAATTTCCTTTTGATCCATGAAAGTTATAATGATGTGTAATTTACTTGTTGTATAATGTTCAAATTTTTTGAGACAGTTCAAAATAGATAAGATAAACATAGTTTTGATATAAATAACATAGTAATTATAGATAAAATTCTAACACTCTTTTTATGAAAATTAACAAACTAACGCCTCCGGGTGCGGGAGTTTCTCGCTGCATTGAAGACCCATTGGTGGCCTTCAGCTGTTGTCTGCTCTATGGTCGGGTTGTTGTCTCTTTGACACATTCCCCATTTCCATTCTCAATTTTATAATAAGTGTAAAAAGTTATTATAAGATGTTAACAGGAATCAAAATCATATATGCAGTCATTATTTTCAAAATAAACCAAAAACAATGGAATACATTATAATATAAAATGAGCACAGATGGTATTTAATAAATAGGTATACAAAGTAATAGTTTTTGCCATTTTACATCTTCCATGGAATGAAAAAAAGTAGTTTCCAAAGCATACATTTTTACAATATTAATAAATCTTATTACCTTACAATTCACATTAAGCTTACATTCTGAATGTAAAAACATTAATGTAACATTTCTAGAGTCATGGATTTTTAACAATGGAATGTAAAAGTTACAAATTATTTAGAGTTATTTCCCTTTGATAACTAACTTGGAGGCCAGCTCCAAACAAACTAGTTAATTCTAAGATTGGACAAAATTCAATAGCAACAACATAAATATTACTAAAATGAGCTTTGAATCAAGATTCTTGTTTTAGGTAATACTAAGTTTTGCTTTTAAAACAATTAAAGAAAATGCTGATGAGTTTGAATTAAGGAACACTACAATTTTATTTACAGGAAATACAACATTAAAGAATTTGTGGTGTTCATGGAATTTTAGTTGTATTATAATTAAATAAAATTCTAACAGTATTATGACATGATTATACACATAAATGTGCCTTTGGTTGTCTTTGATTTTCTCTCTGTCAAATAGTAAACAAGTAAAGCTTAGAAACAGTTCATCTAAATGAACACATGTGACCTTTCAAAAATATAATAATTCTGTTAAAAATGAGAATATCTGGAATATTATTCAGAGAGATCAATAAAGGCCATTTTAAGATTTTTGCCAGATCCTTTGGTAAGATCAAATGAGTCATATTCAAATAACAGTCGCTATCAAATAAGATGTCAATTTCCTGTATGTCAGTTTCTGTACATCACCCTCTTTCACTACACTCCACCCCACTCTAAGAAAGAGAAAGTTGTTTCGATAAACCAGATTTTTCAGACTGACTATCCAAATAAAACCCCCATTAATTTCCTGCTTACCTTTTTTGATGATTTCACTATCCTATACTTTGGATATTTCTTATTGAGACATTATAAATCAAACTTAACTTTGCTAACCACTGCAGATTATAATTCTATATATACTTATATTCTCTTAAAATAGTGATACCGTAACAATGCTTTTTTTTATCAAAATAAAACAATATATTAGATTTACAAACATTTATAAACACAACAAATCTACATCTATAAAAAATATAACAAATACCATTACAACAAGCAGCCATTTTAACAATTACCATGACAACCATCTATCATGACAACTGATACCATGACAGCAAGGAGTCATATTAAAAATTATGCTTCAAAACTATCATTCATCAGAAAAAGGGATCTTGAACAAAATAAAAATTAAAATATTAGCATTTCCATGTTATTTGGAAACATTTTTATTGATCCAGAATTCTTAGTTCATGTTCTTAGTGGAGAAGTGTGATTTTGTTTGAGAAAGACTTATAACTCATACAATATACTTAATACTTTCAACACTATCAACTTTAGTAAGTTTTTAAAAGGGCCTCAAAAATATATTTGTGTCATTTTAATATTCATATAATGAGGTAATTGTAAAAGTTGAAAATTTTCCTATACATTATCAAGCTCACCGTAGCACTTTTTCTGAGCAAACAAAAAAATAAAATATATTCAAATCAATCATTGACAACAGGTTCTGAACAGTATTATTAAATGCAATATCAATATACTAAAGGAGTTTTCTGGTTGGTTTACACATAAATATCAAGAAAATCATAAGAAGGTCCTGATGTGGGGTGAGCATCTTCATTTCTGTATTCTTTAATTTGCTAGACCATTTTTCTCTATTCTTTTTTCCTATTATTCTCCATTCCTTATATTTTAGCACCCCATCATTCTCTAGTCTTAATTTTTGGCCTATTTTCTCTATTCTTTATTATTATTGATCTTTATTCTCATTTTTTTGCCCATAATACTCTGTTCTGTAAACCCCATCCAGACCCTCATATAAGATTTTAAAGTCATCAAATCACTAATGTCACTGTTTCATACAAATTTTTAGTCATTGCGATGAATACATTTTTAAGGACCAAATTTTCATGTGAACTTGACAAAATTCAACAAAAATGGCTGCATCAATTTACGCTCATACAATATAAAAAAAAAAAAGGTGTAAAACAAAAGAAAAGTTAATCAAACAACAGCAGAATGAACTGATTATCTGTTTTATACTTCACACATCACACAGAGACATTTCAGAAAGACGTTTAGCAATGACAATGGTAAGACCGCATGAGCTGATGAAAACAATGTTGAAGTAAATAAATAAATAAATAACAAAATGTTAAAATAACATGTCTGATATACTAGAATCTGTATAGTTAATTGTACTGTCCTCATCCGCTGGTTGTAAATCCATGTTCTCGTATTCCTCAAGATCAAGGTCTTCTTTCTTTGGTTCAGGCTCAGGTTCACTGAATGACATTCCGAACTGGAAATCTTCTGTTTGGTATTTAGATCTGTAATTTGTCAGTTCGCCTGCAAATTACAATGATAAAAAAGTTAAGGATGTATTCACACAGTCAGTAAAATAACTTTAGTTTGACCATTACCTGTCTTCACAGAATATAATTAATTGCTACAAAATCAATGATAATGAAGAAAATGCCATTCAAACCCTTAAGCCTGTTCATAAGTCAGGGTTATGTTTCTTTGCTAGCAAAATACCCTGCAAAACATAATTTAAAAGCATACTTTGGACTATTATTTTTGTGGGTACCAAATTTTGTAGATTGAGGAAACATTGTACTTTGGTAGACATTTGATTTAGTGATTTTGCCTAAGTCTGCATACAAGCATTTAGAAAATTTTTGGTTCAACTATACCCATGAAATCAACAAAAAATGGTATCCCACAAGTTATAATGAATCCACAGTACTTGTATTGATAAGATAAGATAAGATAAGATATTTTATTGGTTAAAAAAAAATTAAAGGATTGTTACAAAGACATATACATAAACATACAAACATATATCTGACCACATTTATAAACATTGTATATATATATTTGTATATCCCCTCCATTGTTAAAAAAAAATATTGTTAAAATAATAAATGTATATAATCTCTGCTGAGGAGGTGGTACCACAAATTTATTTAGTACTCAATAAAGCATTTCTAGAATTGTACATGTCGCTTATGAATTTTACAATAATTCTAATTATATCAGTCTCACCGCACGTATACAAAAATTTAAATCTTGCTTCATTAGTCATATCTAAAAAAGAGGGAACTATTTCACTAATTTTGGAAAATATTTGTTCTCTAATTGTATTTAGTTTTGTACATTTTATAGTGAAATGAAATTCATCTTCTACTTCTAAAAGACACAAGGGAAAAATTCTTTCTTCTACAGGAGTTTTAATGTGTCGACCTTGTTCAATTTTAAGAACACTATTACATATTGATGAGACTTCATAGTATTTATTTACATTACTGCTACTTTTTCCATTAATACATAACGACTTTCCCTCTTTCATCGCTAGAATTTAACATGTTTTTCTTTCATATAAAAGGTGTGTCAAAGGATTGCTGTCCACTGACGTATACCAAAACTCCTTCTTGTCATGCTAATTTGAAAAATCAGAAACTTTGTATCTTAAAAATATGTTTTTAATTAAGTTTGTTATTTGATAAACCATAGTCATATTGATTGATTTATAATTGTTGTATTCAATCAAACAGTTCATAAATGTCATTAAATTAAATAATTACTTTATAAAACAGAACTTTAAGATGAATGTTTGCGATCCTATTATATAATCAGAAATGCTTATGAGCATGCAATAAAAATAGATTTCAAGTCATTTCATAAACTTAAATACATGTATTTCTAGGAAAAGAGTGATATAAATAGTTATTGCACTGTAGATCAATATTGGTATGGCACAAATATTAGTAGATCTAAATCGATCAAGATAACAAGTCTGGAAAAAAGAAATGAGAAATTTAAGGAATGAAGAGGGAATGATAAGTCACACATTAATGTATAAATAAGTTTAAAAATTTATTGGTCCTGAATATTCTAGTCAATATGGAATAAGATCCCAGTTGACAGAATTCCTGTCCTGAATATCCCCCCCCCCAAATGAAAATTATGTAAAGGTGCTTAAATTTGTAGTATATTCATGGTTATTCATCAAACTTTAAACTTCTCAGAAATTTTGTATGACTCTGAAATATATAGGTAGATGATTGCCTAGATGGTCCAAATTTGATTTTTGATTTTTACCAGGAAGTGATTAAAACTAGCCTATTAATACTCAAACAGTATTCCTCTTTTAAATGCCAGTCACGAACCTTCAAAAAGTCTCCCATAAACCATGTAGGGGGCTACAAGTATGAGCATGTAACTGAAATATGGCATTCAAATATAGGGAATACAAATAATGATAAAAATACATCGAACTAATGGGGGAAATAACTGGGTCTCGTTCCATATCATTAAAATGATATGTCAATGAGACAGCAACCCAATAAGACAAATTATCAAAAGACAAAAGGTCAACACGCATTCTTCAACAAAATAAAAATGTCATACCAATAAGTCAAGTCCTTTGAATCGACTACACTTCAGTCTACAAAATTAGGAATATATTGAACAGAGACAATAAAAGACCTGCCGTCAGCACCAATGTTTTGACCTTAGACCAAAATAGCCTTACACAAATTTTAATTTAGTATTCACATGCAGATATAAAATTCTGAAAGGTATAAGCTGTGGACTTTTGCTATGAAAGACCAAACAAGGAGAAATAAGAAGAGCTGTAAACTAGAGGCTCTAAAGAGCCTGTGTCGCTCACCTTGGTCTATGTGAATATTAAACAAAGGACGCAGATGGATTCATGACAAAATTGTGTTTTGGTGATGGTGATGTGTTTGTACATCTTAATTTACTGAACATTTTTCCTGCTTACAATTATCTCTATCTATAATTAACTTGGCCCAGTAGTTTCAGAGGAGAAGATATTTGTAAAAGATTACTAAGATTTACGAAAAAATGGTTAAAAATTGACTATAAAGGGCAATAACTCCTAAAGGGGTCAACTGACAATTTCAGTCTATTGACTTATTTGTAGATCTTACTTTGCCGACATTTATTGTTTTTTACAGTTTATCTCTATCTATAATAATATTCAAGATAATAACCAAAAACAGCAAAATCACCTTAAAATTACCAATTCAGGGGCAGCAACCCAACAATGGGTTGTCCGATTCATCTGAAAATTTCAGGGCAGATAGATTTTGACCTGATAAACAATTTTACTTCACTTCAGATTTGCTTTAAATGATTTGGTTTTTGAGTTAAAAGCCAAAAACTGAATTTTACCCCTATGTTCTATTTTTAGCCGTGGCGGCCATCTTGGTTGGTTGACCAGGTCACGCCACACATTTTCAAAACTAGATAACCAAATGATGATTGTGGCCAAGTTTGGTTTAATTTGGCCCAGTTGTTTCAGAGGAGAAGATTTTTGTAAAAGATTACTAAGATTTACGAAAAATGGTTAAAAATTGACTATAAAGGGCAATTACTCCTAAAGGGGTCAACTGACCATTTCGGTTATATTGACTTATTTGTAAATCTTACTTTGCTGAACATTATTACTGTTTACAGTTTATCTCTATCTATAATAATATGCAAGATAACCAAAAACAGCAAAATTTCCTTAAAATTACCAATTCAGGGGCAGCAACCCAATAACAGGTTGTCCGATTCATCTGAAAATTTCAGGGCAGATAGATCTTGACCTGATAAACAATTTTACTTCATGTCAGATTTGCTTTAAATGCTTTGGTTTTTGAGTTAAAAGCCAAAAACTGAATTTTACCCCTATGTTCTATTTTAGCCGTGGCGGCCATCTTGGTTGGTTGACCAGGTCACGCCACACATTTTTAAAACTAGATAACCAAATGATGATTGTGGCCAAGTTTGGTTTAATTTGGCCACGGAGTTTCAGAGGAGAAGATTTTTGTAAAAGATTACTAAGATTTACGAAAAATTGTTAAAAATTGACTATAAAGGGCAATAACTCCTAAAGGGGTCAACTGACCATTTCAGTCATGTTGACTTATTTGTTAATCTTACTTTGCTGAACATTATTGCTGTTTACAGTTTATCTCTATCTATAATAATATTCAAGATAATAACCAAAAACAGCAAAATTTCCTTAAAATTACCAATTCAGGGGCAGCAACCCAACAACAGGTTGTTCAATTCATCTGAAAATTTCAGGGCAGATAGATCTTGACCTGATAAACAATTTTACTTCATGTCAGATTTGCTCTAAATGCTTTGGTTTTTGAGTTATAAGCCAAAAACTGCATTTTACCCCTATGTTTTATTTTTAGCTGTGGCGGCCATCTTGGTTGGTTGGCCGGGTCACGCCACACATTTTTTAAACAAGATACCCCAATGATGATTGTGGCCAAGTTTGGTTTAATTTTGCCCAGTTGTTTCAGAGGAGAAGATTTTTGTAAAAGATTACTAAGATTTACGGAAAATGGTTAAAAATTGACTATAAAGGGCAATTACTCCTAAAGGGGTCAACTGACCATTTCGGTTATATTGACTTATTTGTAAATCTTACTTTGCTGAACATTATTGCTGTTTACAGTTTATCTCTATCTATAATAATATTCAAGATAATAACCAAAAACAGCAAAATTTCCTTAAAATTACCAATTCAGGGGCAGCAACCCAATAACGGGTTGTCCGATTCATCTGAAAATTTCAGGGCAGATAGATCTTGACCTGATGAACAATTTTACCCCATGTCAGATTTGCTCTTAATGCTTTGGTTTTTGAGTTATAAGCTAAAAACTGCATTTTACCCCTATGTTCTATTTTTAGCCGTGGCGGCCATCTTGGTTGGTTGGTTGACCGGGTCACGCCACACATTTTTAAAACTAGATACCCCAATGATGATTGTGGCCAAGTTTGGTTAAATTTGGCCCAGTAGTTTCAGAGGAGAAGATTTTTGTAAAAGTTTACGGACGACGGACGACGGACGCAAAGTGATGAGAAAAGCTCACTTGACCTTTCAGGTCAGGTGAGCTAAAAAGAACTAAATATTTATCATCATTCTAGTATAATCTGACAGATGAATAGCAAATGTAATATGCATTTACAATATGAAATGTATCAGTCATCAACATGCATATTCAATAGCCTTGTAACTTTGACATAGTCCTATATATGTATTTTCAATACCTAAAAAGTCGGGTATGATAAAGGTGAGCTACATACATGTATTAGAGTAAGTTTTTTTACATGATAAAGAATATAAAATTAATTTACCATCTTCATCCTTCTTGATCCCTCAACTTGCAAGACAAAATTCAAATACTTGATTATTCTTTTGGTAGACAAAAAATCAATATACGTTGAAACCAGTCAAGACAAAATCCTAAGTAAACCAGGCGACCATTCAAACTGAACCATGAATTTACTAGGAAACCTGTTTCAACTGAACTCTATAATCCAGGAGACGTGTCTACTTAAATCCTGAATAAACCTGAGGCAACCTGTCTAAATTGAACACTGAATAAACCAGGAAACGTGTCTTTACTGAACACTGAATAAACCAAGTGACCTGTCTACTTGAACCCTGAATTATCAAGGCAAACTGTCCAAGCTGAACCCTTGTATAATCCAGGAGACCTGTCTAAAACGAACCCTAACTAAACCAAAAGACATGTCTAAACTGAACCCTAAATAAACTAAAAGACATGTCTAAACTGAACCCTGAATAAACCAGGAAATCTGTCAAAACTGAACCCTCAATCAGGAGACCTTTTAAACTGAACCTCAAATAAACCAGGAGACCTATCTACTTGAATTCTGAATAAACCAGGAGATCTGTCTAAACTGAACCCTGAATAAACCAAGAGACCTGTCTAAGCTAAACCCTGAATAAACCAAGAGACCTGTCTAAGCTAAACCCTGAATAAACTGAACACTGAATAAACCAGGAGACCTGTCTAAACTGAACCCTGAATACACCATGAGACCTGCCTAAGCTAAATCCAGAATAAACCAAGAGATCTGTCTAAGCTAAACCCTGAATAAGCTGGAAACTGAATAAACCAGGAGACCTGTCTAAACTGAACCCTGAATAAACCAGGAGTTCTGTCTAAACTGAACCCTGAATACACCATGAGACCTGCCTAAGCTAAATCCTGAATAAACCAAGAGATCTGTCTAAGCTAAACCCTGAATAAGCTGAAAACTGAATAAACCAGGAGACCTGTCTAAACTGAACCCTGAATAAACCAGGAGTTCTGTCTAAACTGAACCCTGAATACACCATGAGACCTGTCTAAGCTAAACCCTGAATACACCACTAACCTGTCTAAACTGAACCCTAAATATACCAGGAGACCTGTCTAAACAGAACCCTAAATAAAACAGGAGATATAACTAAACTGAAATCTAAATAAACCAGGAGACTTGTCTAAACTGAACCCTAAATAAACCAAGAGACCTGTCTAAGCTAAACCCTGAATAAACTGAACACTGAATAAACCAGGAGATCTGTCTAAACTGAACCCTGAAAAACCAAGAGACCTGTCTAAACTGAACCATGAATAAACCAGGAAACCTGTCTAAACTGAACCCTGAACAAACCAGGGGACCTGTCTAAACTGAACCCTGAATACACCAGGAAACCTGTCTACACTGAACCCGAAATACACCAGGCGACCTGTCTAAACTGAACCCTAAATAAACCAGGAGATACGTCTAAACTGAACCCTAAATAAACCAAGAGACCTGTCTAAACTGAACCCTAAATAGACCAGGAGACCTGTCTAAACAGAACCCTGAATAAACTAAGAGACCTGTCTGAACTGAACTCTTGTATAAGGAAATAAAATAATAATCTTAAGTTAATCATAGATGTATAAACCCATATATATATAGATGGGTTTATACATCTATGAGTTAATTATCTGTATAAACATAGATGTATAAACCCATACATCTATGGTATAAATGAGCACTGGTGTCTAATTTGGAAAAAACTTCAGTCCCAAAGGGATTTAAATCTAAACTGTTCCCAGACGCAGATCCAAGATTTGGAAAATGGTAGGGCCTCCAAACTCTGCATAGTTCAAAGGTTAATACAGATGAATTATATTTAGTAATAAAAGCTGGAGCATTAAAATCTGCTGTCACTGAGGTGTAGATAATTGGTATTTATAGTATTGAGTATAGGTTCATAAACTAGCTAATTAAGGATGTTCTTGCTCCAGGCTAAAACCTATTAAATAAAACATAATTATGATCACCTAAAGATGACAAGTACATGTAACCAGACATTGTAAACAATTAATTTCTCATCTATGAATTAATAATTAATGGTGGTAATTCATCTTCATTAAAACCCTGATTTTGTTGGATAATACAATTTTTTTAATTACACATCAACATGTGTGACGTTGTCCTGATGTAAGATGATATCACCACAATTTCCGAAAGGCTATCAATTTTGGTAACTTTACTTACAACATTCCTCCCATTCATTTAAACAAAATAAATTATGTGAATTACTAATGTTTAGTTGAAATGTACTGAAACACCATTGTTTAAAGGATTATTTTTGAGGAAACAGACAATCCTTCATAAGGCAAGCTACAAAACTTCACAATGAGTCTCCATAAATATAGAACCCCTTTGAAGAAATTCTCTTGAAGGAATCTTTTTTTTAGAAATTGGAAATAGACAGTCATACAGTACAGGCACTTTTCAATGAATAAAATTGGTTGAACCAGGTTTTTCAGCACAGATGCGTCCAACTATCTAGAACAATAAGCCATCAACTGGTGATTAAGGTCAATAATGATTCAAACTACATGATTTATTTCATTGAGTCATGACTAATAAGTTTGTCCCATCTCATTTTAAACAATCTTATCAATGATCATTGTTAAAATTAACTGTCAAGTTTCAACATACTTCAATCAAAACATTCAACTTCTTTAGACATGTTGTGTTAAATTTCAATGGAAAAATAAGAGAGTAAAAAATTAGACATCACATAAAATGCATATATTTATGATAATCATGGTTCAAAAACTACTAAAAAAAACATATATTTAGACTTTTCATGACAACATATCATTTAGTGCATGCCAAAAAATCTCTAACTTTATAAATAAGAAGATGGTCAATTGAGTTTAAAGTATTTAAGTTTCATCATAACACCATAATAGTATGTTGTCATTAGAAATGTTCTTGACTTTAAGCCGGTAACAGATGCTGTGTACATCAGAAATCACCTGTTTTATAATCATTAAAACTTATTTTCTTACACTGTTCACATACTGTATTCTTTTTAGGTTGAATTTTGATCATTTTTGAAACTATGTCCAATTTTCTTACTCTGTTCACATACTGTATTCTTTTTAGGTTGAATTTTGATCATTTTTGAAACTATGTCTATATTTGTAAAATTATCTATAAATTTTATAATTCTTTTAGTTTCAAGTGATTGGTCATTCTTACTCATACTGGTAATTTTTTTATATGTTATTAGTATTATCAAATACATCAAATATTACATGCATTTTACTTTTTGAAAACTTACTTTTTCATGAAGTACTAATGGTAGTATCACTTGCAATTAACAATTGACTATGCTACAGGATTTTAAATATTTATATATATATATGGAGTTTCTATATACATGTTCAAACTGTTTGTACTTAGTATTCTATTGTTATTGTCTAAAATAATGTATTTACATTGTACTATGCCCTTTGTGAGTTCATGATGTAAATGGAACATAAATATCTTTTTCTTCTTCATAGTACAAAGGTAAGGATTTAATCCAACAACTTCTTAGAATAAAGTATTTCAATTTATATGAGTAGCAGGAATTTGACAAGACAGCAGTAAAGCATATTTATCAAGGACCAAACTAATAAACATTTTTAGAATACCAAAAGAGTTTCTTATCGATGTACAATGTACATGTCTTAATCTGATCAATTACCTTACTTATTTGTAATACATGTATCACTAACTTATGTTTACCCAGAAAGATTTAAAACATCACAACATAAAGTGTTTCCTAAATTTTGTTTTGCTTAATCATACTGTGGAATATTTCATGTAACACCTTTACATTCCATGAACATAAAAAAACATTGTATACATCAAATGAAAGGCCCCATAATGAGTATATTCCTGTGTATTAGATTTAAAACCAAATGAGTTCTTTAGAGACATATACATTGTTGTTAATTAGATGAGCATGCTAGAAGTTGATCAGACTTAATCCAGAATTAGAACTAACCAGACTAAAGTGCTAGCTGTGTATCAGATTTTTTTACCGTAGATACCATTTTTTGAGGATTTTGTGGGGATAGGTGAACCATGAATTTAAATGTTCAACAAATAACAAATTGGCTAGAGGTATAGGGGGAGGGTTGAGATCTCATAAACATGTTTAACCCAAGTCAGGAGCCTCTAGCCTTTGTCAGTCTTGTATTATTTTTAATTTTAGTTTCTTGTGTACAATTTGGAGTTTAGTATTGCATTCATTATCACTGAACTAGTATATATGTTTGTTTAGGGGCCAGTTGAAGGACGCCTTCGGGTGCGGGAATTTCTCGCTGCATTGAAGACCTGTTGGTGACCTTCTGCTGTTGTCTGTTCTGTGGTCTGGTTGTTGTCTCTTTGACACATTCCCCATTTCCATTCTCAATTTTATTCTATTGGGTTGTATGCAGACTTTGGAAAAACCACAAAATCAAATGTCCACGAAACTGCAAGAATTCCTCAATCCACGAAAATAAATTAAATTCACAGTAACAAGTTTAAATAAGAGGGGAGGGTTTTGTACCAGCAAATATGTTTAATTCCGCACATTTTATATGTACCTGTCCCAAGTCAGAAGCCTGTTATTCAGACTATCATTTGTTGCTGTATATCATATTTGTTTTTTTGTTTATTTTTTTGTACATGAATCAGGGCCGTTAGTTTTCTCATTTGAATTGTTTAACATTGGTCATTTTGTGGCCTTTTATAGCTGACTATGAGGTATGGGTTTTGCTTATTGTTGAAGGCCATACGGTGACCTCTAGTTGTTAACTTCTATTTCATTTGGTCTCTGGTGGATAGTTGTCATATTGGAAATCATGCCACATCTTCTTATTATTATATATAGCTAAGCCCTATTCAACTGATTTTTATAGTTTGTTCTTATGTTGTGCTGTTACACTACTGTCTCAGGTTAGGGGGAGGGCTGAATTGGGTGCCTGCAAACATGTTTAAACCCCCCACAATCTGTTTGTGCCTGTCAAGTCTTATTTTTTTTATATCAGTTTTAATTCTGAATTAATATGTACACTAGTTATGTAAAAATGTGCTGCACTTAGTGTAACAAATTTAGGTTTAGAATTAATACTAACCAGCTGAGAGTCCTAAGGGTGTATTAGATTTAATAGTACCATCCTCTCTTGGAGTAGTAGGTTCATCCACATCATCAGAGGACTCATCCCCTAATGAGCCTCCGAGGGACATGACAGTTGTTTCCTCCTGTTGTTTATGGACTTCCACCTCCTCATGGGGATTCTGTTGAAGGTAATCGTGCAGGGCAGCACCCTCGGACTGATATTCATGCATTTTAGGATCTTCATGGAATTTTATCTTTCCCTACAAAACAAATCAGATATTGTATATGAAATATCGGTAGATGACAATAACCTTACTTACAACATGATGTCATTAAATGTAATTGGATATCCTGCATTTATTAAGCTTTATTCTACAATAAGGGCAAATTCCTGCAAGAACCATGGAAAGCTATTATTTAGTATTAACCATAATATCCAATGTAAATTGGATATACCCCTTCAGGATTATACGCCCTAATCTATTCCTTATAATTTTAGGTTTCTCTAATATTATTTACAAAACACTGTTTTGAACACATTAAATCATTTTGCTCATTACACATACATTGTGTGAATCACAGCATGTTCATATTTTACAATTTATATAATGTAGGATTGCAATTCAAGTACTCTTATTTTTGTTCTTTTTCAAATATTTGTGTAACTAATTTACTTGTAGTCCTGTCAGTTTAACCAATACTTCCACTTTTCTATTGTTATTTATAAGCCTAAACAGGGCACCCCCACATGACTTATGATCAATTTTTCTCTCTCAGTTCTCTTAACCACCATTTAATATTTTTCTGGATCTATACTTTAAACATGCACTTCCATGAATGCAATGCAGCAAACATAAATGCAATCTTGTGTATACATCTATAAAGTGATATGCAAGTACAATATATAGCTTATATAAAACAATTTTGTGACCTTGAGTTGTAAATATAAGCCTGTATGGGATATACAATATCTGAACTATTCAGTGAATAAATAAACTAAGTATTAAAAAGAAATCAAATATTCACAAGTGAGAATTTACAATCCTTCAATATCCAAGGGCAAACATTTTAAACATATTTATGGCTTGGACCTTAGTTTCCCTATCACCATCCATGTAAAAATTACTTCGCTTATCTTGATGTTTGCTGTTTCCTGTGTTTATATATCAATTTGCCCATAGCATAAAAAATATTTAAATTTGTACACAAGTTCATGTGAATGAGTAACTTTAATTATAGTTTTTATAATTTCAAACTTCCCATTTATATTCTATGAAATCCTTTGATGACATGCCATATTACATAATTCTCTCACTTCCTATATATTGAATTTCAAAGTTTTTTCTCTCAAATATTTTCCCTATACATTTGTTTGGTGAACAAAAACTAAACTTAGAGAACGGAAACTAAATATTCAGCAACTTTTCCATTTGTAATGGGGTATAACTCTAGAACGGTAAAAGTGACGCCACCAAAATTCACACTTGATCTGTGTTTTGTGGTAATTAGCATTGTGTATAAGTTTCATATCATTTGGTTGAGGAAAACTAAAGTTAGAGAACGGAAACTTCAGCAATATTTCTATTTGTAAAAGGGCATAACTCTAGAACAGTATAAGTGACGCCACCAAAATTCAAACTTGATCTGTGTTTTGTGGTAATAAGCATTGTGTATAAGTTTCATAACATTTGGTTGAGGCAAACTAAAGTTAGAGAACAGAAACCAATTTTGGGATGTACAGACGGATAAAAAAGGATAAAACTAAATGCCCCCTCCGCTACAGTTGGGGCATAAAAATATAGTGTATTAAGCATTGAACACAATCACATATCTTCATATTATACCAAACTTTGATATGACACTATCATTAGTTCTTCTATAAATCTTCTAATTTCAAACTTTGGCAATTTATGTCTATGAAAACAGATTTATCCTTTTTTTTTTTATAATTTTCAATTGTGAGCAAACATTATGCATACCCATACAACCAGAAATGGCCATTGTAACATCATGTGTTGCAGTAAGCAAATTCAAAATGATGACAGTCACCATGTAAGACTGAGGCATCCCCATTTCCCCCTCCTCCTCCCTCTCCCCAAATCCACCAAGAAAAAGACAGACTAGAAGAACATAATTTGATTTAAAGACACATGCCTGTGTAGATAACAAATACATAAAAAGCTTGGGTACACAATGAATCAAATAAATTGGAGTCCAAACTTTTGTCAACTATTCTAATTGTTTTATAAAATGCCTATTGATTATGGACATGTGGACTTTCAGACTTGTGGTTTTACAGTCCAATGATTTCCAGTTTTTACAACATTTAAAGTGATCAGTTTACACTGAAAGACCATCACACTGAATTACATATAAGGTAAACATATGTCCACCTTTTTTAAATGTTTTTCCTTGATTTATAATCCTTAAAACTATCTTCCCACATTATTTGCTGTGTCACCATTTTAGTCCGAAAATAGCTTTAGATTTGGTCTTTTAAAGGTACAGTTTCTGAACTTTCACCCTTTTAATCCATACTTCAAATGTTCATTCACTATTTTAAGTAGTAGCATCTTCCTTACAGCAACCCAAAATTAAGTATAAAACAAGATATGGCTTCAAAAACATTACCATAATTATTCAAAACACAGCTTAGAGCTAAATAATTTTGATTCAACATTTTTAAGATTTCCAGATCATTTGATACTATATAATTTGTAAAACCAATCGTGTATCCTTGTATATTCCGCATATATTTCTATAATTTGGTGTTGGCAAAACTTTCTACACTTTCCTTTATATTGATATCTCAAGTTTATCTACATTGGTTATTTTATAAAACATACTTTGCAAAGAGAAACTAGAAAATATTACTAGTAATAATCCACCAATAGATTGAACAGATATATCCCACATATATCAAACATAGTTGTAATTTGAATCTTATAACTTGGCCACTGATCTCATTGTATACATCCTACACAAATATAACAATTCCTTACACGAAACTGATTATTTGCTAACAGTCCATTGTCAAATATTTCATGTATGTTCATGGTAACATAAAGCTGAACATGCTGAGGCAGTCTTTGAATTGTGATTCCAGGAAACCCTCATTATTATTTATAAAAAAAAAGTATAATACATGAGCTTGAATAAAAGATTGGAAAATATTTGTTTGTTTGATTGGAATATTTGCTACTTTTAATAACTTCTAACCTCACAATTATCAGTCATCACACTTGGAAAAAGTGGTACGGTTTTTCAGGATTATGAATGCTGAATTTTCCATAATTTCAATAAGGGGAGTCTAAAAAGTGGTAGTCAGCAGCAACAGAACCAGGTGTTCCAGGTGCTAAGCCAATGTAATATAGCCTAGCTTTAAATGCTATGGTGGTGTTGAGAAGCCACCAACCAATCAAATTGAACACCTAACATAGTGATGATTGATTAAACAGTTCAGTGGTATGTGCAGCTAGACAAATCTCTAATCAGATTACTAGAACATTTAATCAAGATTATCTACATATTTCCCTTTTGTCTCCCCATATAACAATACCACCCCATCTGTTACCCCTCTTATAACACTCTTATAAACAATCACATGCAACACACTAAAATCATAAAAAATATATACCCCACTCTTCAGACTATATGTATATAGAGACGGAGGTATTCTGATCAAGTATGAGGAAGAATTTTATTATGCAATTCTGTTGTCATATACACATTAGATCTCTGATATTGATTTAACCATCAAACTTAGCCACAAAAAATATCTATCGTTCAATCACTTAACAATAATGCACAACAAAAAACCTAGTTCAACGTTTATTTATGAAAAATACCTTGTGATTCATGTCAAAGGCAAGATTATGCAGACCTTGTAACAAAATCAATACTATATACAACTGTAATAAAACTATAACTAGTGCAATACATCCCAGGAAGGCAAATATCGTGACTAAGTCAAAGTAATATAAAAAAAAAGTTTCCTTAAATGACCTTAGATTCAATTGCCAAATTTTGCAAGTTCTTCCCTTCTGCGATAACATTTAACTAAACTTCTTTGATCATTGTGAGAATCACATGAATCCATACATATATATAAAGCCTACACCCTACCAAGGAAATAACATGTTCAACTCAACTGAAAGTCTGCCATTCAGGATGTGGTTAAAAAAAACCAGTTTTAAGTTACAATCATAGCTTCATAAACAATTTGATTGGTCTTTAGAGTAATTTCTACAGAAAAAATAATATTTTGTCCTCAAAATTATTGAACCACTGTTTAATACATTTCGTTACCAAACCCCCATTACCCCTCCTTCATGTATGTTTAAGCTTATTCCATCAATAGAGGGGGGTTCAAAAGGAAGTCTTGCCGAAAGGGTTAGTATGTCCTGGTAGATAGAAATGTTAGTTAAAATACCATGCATAGGTATACATGGTATCAATTCATCAACACAAATCTGAAGTTTGTGCAATTTTGTCCAATTCATATTCAAAACATATAGTTTTACTAATTTAAGTGACGATATATAATCATGAATAAACGTACACATGAATATCAATCTGTCACTATGCCCATTATTCAGCCAGAGAGTTTATTTACCTTCTTTTTCACAGCACATGTGTAATGTTCATAGAATGAAATCCTTTTTGTGATAGTCTTTTGTGTAAATTCAACAAAATAAGTCCTATTTTCAACGGGTCCCATAGATTCAGACTTCCAAATTAAGTGACATTTTGGCTTCCAATACTCCATACCATCCGACTGAACACCCATACCAAACGGACGTTAAAACTCCCAAGATACTTCCGACAGGTGACAAAGAAAACTTTTAAAATTGGAGCTATCAACAGTAAGGTAGCACTTATCTCTTCAGAAAACTGATAATTTGCAGTTTCACCTGTCTGTCCCCAAACTATTTGTCACATGAATGCTAAAAACTCTTACCACTAGTTTACATAATCAATCGTTTTATCTTGTTTCTACAAATTTTGTTTGGCTGGAAGGGGAAGTGATGGGCTGACTTTGTCTCGTACTCAAAAGTAAGATATTAGATAATTTTTCTTATGTCCAGCAGACATAGACAGTCCAGTAATGGTCAGTTAATTCGGTTAATAGGTAATCTCAACTATTTTAATGTATGTAATTTGAATACTAATCATGCATGCTATGTTTAAAACTTCATAATATAAATGTTTTACCAATTTTCTAGAAAGTGGTCATTTCTATTTAAAATATATACAAAGC